ACGAGGATTTGCACGTGTGCTCCAGTGAAGAATCCTGGGATGGGAAGATGGACTTCGGTTGCCTGGATAGGTCTAGAAATATTCACAAGGGTTGGAAGGAGGCAGAAGGTGGCTCAGGAGAGGTGTTGTGAATTGCCGCCCTCCAAGGCAGTCTAACAGAGCAGCCGAGACTGCTTTCAAGAGAGCTTCAGGACTGGGTCTGTTGAATGTTGATGTTCCCTCAAAAAGGGGGTGGGGTGGAGAGGGTCCCTGAACCTTCATCTGAGATTCTGACCACAATCCCCCCTATACCTCCCAGGCTGCTATATACTGCATGTGACTTTATAGCCCTGGCAGGTGCTAAATAGACTGTGGAAGGTTATATGAATGGGGTGCTTTACATCAAGCTGGAGTGAGACTTCACAGTGATGTTGCTGCTTTGGGGTCCACCACACACACTCCTGTAAGTAACTCCTCACCCACACACCGAAGGAAAGCCCAGTAAGGACATTGGCTCCCTAAGTCGGTAGACTGTTATTGATGTGCTGAAACGTGGGGGGGGGGAGTTCTTTTCTAGCCCTCTGGGGAAAGAGTTCCTGCATCACAAGGCTGTGGCAAAGGTGAAGATGCTGCATTACTGTTAACGTTGAAGACAGAGGAAAGCCCTTGATCCCCAAGCCAAAAATGTAAGGAATGTAGCTTAGCTCCCCTGAGAGCCTCTGGGGGCAGTGCGGTCCCGCTGATGGCTTTATTTCACCCCCAGTGAATCTGCTTTCAGTCTTCAAATCAACAGAACCCTAAGAGGATAAATACATGTTACTGTAAGTCATCAGGAAATTTGTTACAGCATTCAAAGGAAACTAATGCACTCCAGAAGAGAAGATGGCTGGCCCCTGACCTCCCTCGTCCCAGCAGACTTCAGAAACTCCAGTGGAAGATGAGTGGACAGTGCAGACTCCCAGGAACACAGGCACTTAGATGCAATCCAATTCTTTGGGACTCTCTTGAGGCTAGGAGAACAGAGGCCTAGAAGAAGAAACGTGGTGTTTCTCCAACAAGGAAAGGAACATCGGTCTCTGGCTTCTTGTTAACTGGAACATGTGCAATAGGAATCCTGAAGAGCTGCCCTTGGGATGCAACCATTAGGGTGAGCAGGGTCATGTTCAGGAGCAAGAAAACACATCAGGGTCCTGATGGTGGCAAGGCACACAGATTAACCTGGAGCTTAGATCCAGTCAACATTCCAGGCCTCTAGAAAGCAAAGTCTCTAGTTGACTGACTCCAGGTGACTCCGTGTACACTCCCTGATGCTAGAGAGCCTGCACTCTGACAGTCCTCCAACCTAGCTTAGTGCCCACCCCAGCCTGGTCCCCAGCCTAACCCTCTCCCTCCCCTAGCCCATGATAGCTGCCAATTCCTGAGCACCCACCATGTGCACCATGCCCCTCCCATGGGCTCTTCTGAGTAATCCCACTACTTACTTTCCTCCTTTGATCACTGAGACTCATTGCCTTATATATGTTATCATTTTTCTCCTTCCTTGACTCTCTCTGGGCTGCCTGAAAGGCTTTATATGGAGTACCACACTTTTTTTTTTCTCTTTTCTTTTTCAGGATGTTGGAGAATTAGTAATAGATTGACAAGATCCAGGCACAACTGGGAAACCTGGCCCGAAAAAGGGTGCGAATGGAGTTGTGGGAGGTGATGGGGTCTGAGGGGGAACCATGGTGTTTTGGAGTAGGAGGGTCAGCTGTAAACCTCAGTCTGTACTCCCAGGAGTGTCCGGCCAGACCCTAAAGACTGGAGCTTGCAGGACACAGATGCCTTTGTGCTGGTCTAGGACATCTGCAGCCTCCGACAGTTTCGATTATGTGATAGCCCTGAGGCAGCACATAGCAGCAAACAGGTGAGGGAGGGCTTGGCTGGAGATGGTCTGCCTAGGGGAGCAGGTAGTTCTGGTTTGGGCACTTCTGAATTATACTCTGTGTTCACGAGAAGGTCTCAGGGTGTATGAGGTCTTTGGCACACTTGGGGATCTCTGGCAGGAGGGGACCCACCGCATTTGTACACATGGGGAGGGCTCTTCTGGCCATGGAGTCTCCAGCACTGCTGGCCTCTAGGCCAGTGGGCGCGCCAGAGACACCCATCCTTGTAGTAGGCAGCAAGTGGCATCATCAGCATCAGGGTGCGCTTCGGACTGAGGGAGCATGACACTTTTATTAGACAAGACCCCAGACATGCTGGCTAATGCCTGCAATTTCAGTTCTCAGGAAGGTGGGCAGAGGATTGTTGTAAATGCAAGGTCAGCCTGAGCTACACAGCAAGAGCCTATCAACAAAAGGAAGGCTGCTGGAGAGATGACCCAGTGAGTAAAGTGTCAATGCTTGACGGCAATCCTAGTGCAGCTCACAAGAGGAGAAGGGAGACAAAGTTCAAAGGCAATATAGCTTGGAGTATGAGGCAGTGAATGGCAGAGACCCTACCTCAAACAAAATGGAAACAAAGCAGTTGTCCTCTTATCTCTTCTACATGAACACTGTGACACATCTCTCTCTCTCTCTCTCTCTCTCTCTCTCTCTCTCTCTCTCTCTCTCACACACACACACACACACACACACACACACACACACAGAGTTAGCAAGAAGGGCGATCGAAATGAACAAACTTTTCTGCAGGTGGTGTCAGTGGTGCTTGCCTCTAATCCTAGCACTCACAGGAGGATTTCAAGTACATATAAAAGTACACTGAGCTCCATGCCATTGTGGACTTCTGTGCTCTGGGAATGGCATGGCCATTATTATCTTGACATCAGAGGAGCTGTATGGTAAGTCACGAGAGATCGTTACTCTATTGGAACCCCATACCAAGCCCTCCTGAGGGGGAAGGAGGGATCACTCCCTCTTGGGGAGTAAGTCATGAGATAGCACACAGAATTCCACCCCTCACTAAGTATAAATGTGGCGAACTATTGGAGGGGTGCAGAGACTGTTCCTCAGTGATGTAGTTGCCCCTAACACACTTCTGTAAGCCCGGTTAAACTCACTGGACTTTCTTCAAGTTGGACTTGGTTATAGTCATGTTTTTGGCCTGTCATTGGGGCTCTATCAGGGGAACACGTTAGTTCATGGCTCTCCGGGAAAGTCAATACCCAAATGCAGTAGCGTGTGCACATGTGGTCCTTCTGTGAGTCCTCTATTAAACCCCAGACAGAGGAACGGCTAGTCAGAGTTCCCCACTGCCAGCTGACGCTGGACAAGCTCAGTGCCCAGTTGAAGGGCCCTTTGCCACTCTTTGGGTGCTGTCATGTTTCTTGCCGAGGGTTTTGTCTCAGGCTTCTAGTGTGTGCTGTGGAGATAGGGAGAAGAGAGTCCACAGACTGTCCAAAAAGAATCTGGAAAGAACCCTGACATAGATGAAGGTGGGGGCATCTATGCTGTAATCTTAAAGTCCAGGACTCGGTGTCTGAGTCAAGTTCCTTTCCCAGGAGCCAGAGAAGGGGCAGCCTCTGGTGGCTCAAAACAAACCAGCAGCGGTAGGACATAGGGTTAAATGCTGTAGCCATAACACCCTTAGAGGAGCTAGGACTAAGCTAGGACTAAGCATGAAGGTCATCAGATTGTGACAAAGCCAATGAAAACTTTCAAATGAATGAGGCTATGTTGCTAATCTTTCCATGGGCAATGAGGGGGAAGGGGCATGTGTTGGCACAAGAACCTACTTTGCCTGCTTCTGTGTACAGAGGTGTAAAAAAAAAAAAAGACCCAGACTCCCTCCCCTGCTCAGACCTCCCTCATGTGTCCTGCAGGTATGCTTTTCTTGAGGCTCTACAACCCTCCTTAGCTTTGGCCAGAAGCTGTGTGACCCTAAGCAATGGTTTAACCTTTTGCAGATAGCTTTCTCTTACAGGTGGAAATATTTGTTGTTAATAATGATAATGGCTTCCGTTTATCAAGCAAGTTTCCATTGCCAGGTTTAATGCTGAGAATTCAACACATGTTATCATTCAAGCCTTTCAACACCTCTGTGACATAGATTCTATTATTGTTGTTGTTTTTTAATCTTATCAGGAAGCTGAGCCTCATACGTCAAGCTGTTTGAGCTCTCGTGGCTAATACTCTAGAATTCAGGATTTGAGCTGAGAGGGCAGACTGAAGTCTCATGGTCTCAGCTAACCCTTGGTCAGAATTCTTGAAGGAGAATGTATGGGCATATTGGTTGGCAAAGGATTACCAAGTGTATTTAAGAACTTATATAAAAGATTGTTGATGTTTGGAAAAGAAAGTTTTAAATAGTATTAAAAGTTTGATATACATCCCTGATAAAACTAGGTCAATGAGATGAAAAGGCAGCACACTAAAATGGAAATACTAATAAGAGAAAAAAGTTTATTAACCTAGTAATAAAACAAATACAAATTAGGGTTCTGAAGGGAGAATGAGAAGAGAGTGATCTGTACGCATAAAGCAGCCTTGGGGAGACATAGAATCTGTACCCTGATCTTGGACCAGTAACTGTGGGAAATAAACGTCTATGGTTTATAAGCCCTCGGTCCATGATAGTCTGTTAATGATGAAGCCCAAATGAACTAAGATTTTGTATTACCTACAAGGAAGATGAAAAAAAAATGAGCAATATAGAAACATAATCATAGTGTGTACACAAGAAAGAAAATTACAACTGTGCGCTGCTATCTGCTTATCAGATTGGAGAAGATAAAATGGCAGTAGGAAAGTTGGGGGCGTAATTGACTTAATGTACTAATTTGTTGCTATTGTGTTCCTAGGATGAACATCTTAATTTTCCACTCAACATATGTTAAGCTTCGCTAGGTGTCTGATCAAAAGGAAAAAAGCAATAAACATTTTTTTATGGTAATTGCCAAGGCAAAGTCAATAGCAGGCGGCCGGCCTTGCTGGAGATTGGAGAGACCCTGCGCCAGGGTAGCCAGGACCCGGGTGGGCGCGTGGGTCCTCGGCAGGGGGCGTGGCCTTGGTCGTGGGGTGGGGAGCAAATGAGAACCACAACTCCCAGGCGCCCGCGCGCCGCCTCGCCTCTCCCATGGCACGTGATCCGCGCGACCTGGGCGCGGTAGAGCAGCAATCCTACCGAGTCCCGTCCCGAACCGCGAGTGGACTGACGCGACCCGGGCGGCCGCCCAGTGCGCAGCACCATGGCGGTGAGTTCTGGGTTGCGGAGGGGACGGAGGCGGGCGACTGTGCGGACATCCTCGCAGCCTCTGGACCCGGGCTGAAGGGGGGGGGGGGGAGCATACGTCAGCGACGCTGTCACAGCAGGAGTAGGGCTGGGGGGCTCCGCTAGTGAAGCTGGCTGTAGCTCTGGGAGTTTGTTCGCCCCTTCCTGCCGGGAGTCAGTCTCTACAGTCAGGCCAGCCCCAGCTGGGATGCTGCAGGTGGGTGCGGAGAGCGAGGACAGCTGTCCGCGGTCCCTTCCCGGGATCTATCCGGATTTGGGGCTTTACAGAAAGGTTTTCCTCCGAGAGGAGGCCCGGCGGGGTTCAGCGCAGTCCACGCGCGTGCACCCCCGGCTCGGCCTGTCCCGGGCAGGTTACTGGGTCTGTTTCTTTAAAACTAACCCAGTAACTTCCCCATCCTTCTTAACCCCCGAATCTGGAAGTAATGTTTCAACAGATGTCTTTTCCTGGCTAGGTTCCCCCTTGGGTAGAGAATGACAGCTTGCAAGCCTGCCCTTTGAGGAAACCCTATCAGTTATTTCATCTCTCAAAGGGTGTCTCGGGATCTAAGACAGGAAGCCTACACAGGCTGTTGAGTGGAGAGGCACTCCGCCTCCTGCGGATCCTACAATACGGGAAATAGATGGGAACCCCTTGATAAAGGTCCCCAGGCAGTCAACGACAGCCCTTTCTGAAGTGTCTGGTTAAAACAACGAAGGCACTTTCTTTAACACCTATTTGAGGGAAAAGAAAGAAAGAAAGAAAGAAAGAAAGAGAGAGAGAGAGAGAGAGAGAGAGAGAGAGAGAGAGAAAGAAAGAAAGAAAGAAAAGAAAAAGAAAAACAAGTCCTGTGAATGTCTGTCTTTGGCCACAGTCCCCTCCGTGAGTTGCCACTCCTCATAAAGCACAGATAAACTGCCAGAGACACAGATTTATCCCCAGTGGGAACTACTGGGGCCCTGCCCTTAGATATCTCAACACAAAACCTGCCAATTAAAAGTTGCTGTCCCTTCCGTAAGTCTGGGTGTGCTGATTTTGGATCTTTTTTTTTTTTTTTTTTTTTTTTTTTTAATCCAAACTATAGAAAGAGTGAGGAATGCAGGGGCACCAGGGGTTTTGAACTTGGTTGGGAAGTGGCATCGTTCCCTATGGGCACTGCTAGTTGAGGACCTCAGTCTGGCCTCCCAGCTGCCTCATGTGCTCCAACTGTCCTAGCCACTTGTTTGTCCTCCCATAGGTGGCTTTGTCCCCTGCCCAGGTCACCCTGCCTCTCTGCTTTAGTCTGCGGTCTCTGTTTGAGTCTCCCATTCCCCTGCTAAACAGTTCGAATGCTACCAGCCTTCTCTCATTCATCTGCATCCTCGAGGTCTGCACATTCCTAGCACAAGAACAGGAGATATTGTTGAGGACGTTTACTGTCTGTAGGGCTTTCCGTGGGCGGCAAAAGGTGTTGGCTGTTTTTTGCTCCTGAGGTAGCTGGCCTGGACCCAAGGATGATAGAATAAAATGAGTTGTGGAAACTCCCGGGGTGACTAAATTATACTGGAGACATTCCATTCGTGCCTACTGCTTAACTAGTCAGACTGGGTGAAGGAGTGATGGGTACAACCTCCACCTGGCAGGGACGTTCCAGAGGCCCCTCCAGGGGTCCAATGGAAGCAACCTCAGGCTACATGGAATTTTGCCCTATTGTTTGCTTCATCATATTCTTTGTGAGCATTTTTCCTGGTCATCAGCTGTTCATTTTGAAATTCTAACAAGATGTCTCAGGATGGTGGACCTCAAAATGAGTTTCCTCTTTGGTACTGTTTTAGCTTTTTGTTTGCCAACTACCACTTTCATATTAGGAAGATAAAGTGCTCATTATTCAACATGACTTTGAAGTGACTACTTATTTTCCATACTGAAGCCATTATGTAATTTACCTGACCGGCTTGATAGTAGGCAGAGAACATGGCAGTTCAGACTATTTCTCCAGCCATACCCTACAGATACTTGCCCTAGAAATACCCAGTGTTTATCAAACAGGCTGTGATTTGAAGAGTAGCTCATGCTTTCTAGAAAGCTCTATGATTCTGAACGAGTGGGCCTTTGAACAAAGGCTCTGTTAACAGTAGCTGGCAATAGCAGAGATGTTGGGTTGGGGGAAGATACAGGTAGGTAGTGGACACAGTGCAAGCCTGTGCAGGCCCTCAGAAGACAAAGGACTGTAGGGCAGTGTTATTCAGTCAGATGAGAACCGAAAAGTATGTGTGCCCAGTAGGTCTGGTCTACAGGGTGCAAGTCTGAACACGGGGGATAGAACACCCATGGGTGAGGCATTCCTCTTCATGCACAAATAGAGGCATACTCATTTTTTTGTTTCCTCGTGTCCTTTATTTCGTTTCAGTGTAGGAGTGAAGCTCACAATGGGAGCCTGTCTGCACCAAGTTCACTGGGAACTGAGAAAGTGAAGCCAAACCAGGGAAAAAGCTTTCTGGGGTTCAGTCCACGTTTTATAGCTGGGGAGACTAAGCTCCAGCAGGAGCTTGATGCGTGACTTGCTCAAGGTCCTTGCAGCAGCAGGAGGCAGATACAGGATATCCAGCTTCAGAATCTGTGTTCTATCTGCTAGGCTTCCCTGTCTGCCCAAAGTGTACCACATCAAGTGAGCATCAGAACCCTGTTCTCAAATGGGTCTCACTAAGATCATCTGGCTTTGCCCCTGGGTTCTGATTGACAGGAGACCAGGCACCTGCATTTTTAGTAAAGCTCTGGGGTCTTAAGGACATGATGTCCTTCACTAATCTACTTGGGCAGTGTGGGACTTGTTGACAGTCTCTGCACTCAGTGGTTCACCTGTAATTCCCTGTGTATGTGGAACCAGGATTATGCACACCTGTGGTCCGCTCCAGCATCCTTCCTCCTAGCCTCTTCCCATTTGCTTTCTACCCTGTTTTTCAGCTGTAGTGCATTAAACACTGGCTTTTCTTCCCTCCCAATGTGACCTTGTCTCTGCGCTTTTTACATCTTTTTTTTTTTTTTTTTTTTTTTGAACTGTAAGGGAGCATTGTCTTTGTTTTGTTTGTTTAGTTTTTTAAAACAGGGTTTCTCTGTATTGCTTTGGAGCCTGTTCTGGAACTTGCTCTGTAGATCAGGTTGACTTAGAAACTCACAGAGATCTGCCAGCCTCTGCCTCCCAAGTGCTGGGATTAAAGGCAAGTGCCACCACTGCCCGGCTTCTATTTTGAGAATTGTTAAAACTAACATTCAGGGACTCAGTTGGTCGAGTGCTTGTCTAGGACATACAAAGTCACAGATTGGATCCTCAATGCCACAGAAACTAAGTGTGGTGGTGCATTCTTCTGTACCCAGCATTCAGAAGGTAGAATTAAGGGGCTAAGAAGCTCAGAATCATTCTCAAATTCAAGGCCACCCTTGGCTACACAACACCCTGAAGAAATGAATTGGATAAATGGTTCAGCAGTTAAGACCTTGTTCTGCTTTTGCAGAGAATCCAATTTGGTTCCCAGAATATATGTCATCACATAACCGCCTGTTTACTCTCTGGCCTCTGTGGGTACTGCACTTACATGTAAAATCCCATACACAGACACACACCTATACACATAATTAAAAATAAAAATATTTTTTTTTTTTTTTTGCCAGATAAGGAGTTGGATGCCCTTAATCAAAGCAGTTGGGAGGCAGAGGCAGGTGAATCTGATATACATAGAAAACAAAAGGCATGCCCATGGGTTTTTCTCCACAAATTAGTGTTTGTTTACTTCAAATGAGGGTCAGGTACAAAGACATGGGTTCTATTCCAGATGCTGCTACCATCTCACAATATAACCCTAGGCATGCCTTAACTTCCTCTTGGGCTTCCTTAAAGGTTGTGTTGAGAGCACAGATTCTGAAACCAGTTTGCCTGGGCAAAAACCTGCTGGCCAACATGCCAACAGATATGAGAAAAGATTAACAATCTCCCAAGTTATGTTCTGTCCAACAAAAAAAGGAATGGGAAGCAGGCTGTGGACAGGGTTCTAGGGTCCGCCTTTTGGCAGGAAAGAGAGCTGTTAAGCTTTGTTTTGCCCAATCCCAGCTTCTCCAAAATTTGGTTACACAGTCACCTTTCAGAGTATGTCTTAACAGCCTGTGGGTCTCATGGAACACTCTGAGAAATGTTCCTTTAGATTTGACAGATTTAGGAAAGAGGGTCCATTGCCTGTCATCTCATGGGATATCTCATTGACTGTCATCTTCACACTGTCTTCTCCCAGCTTCCTGGGATGATGCTGAGGCTCCAGAAAGCCCTTGTTTTGACTGATCTAGTTTGCTCCCAATCTATTAATTTTTAGGGGTCTTATTTATTTTTGTTTTTATTTATTTTTTTGTTTTTGTTTTGTTTTGAGTTGATGACTCACCTTACACCAGGTTGGCCTGTGTCTTAGTCACTGTTCTACTACTGTGAAGAGACACCATGATCAGGGCAACTCTTATAAAAGAAAGCATTTAACTTGAGGCTTGCTTACAGTTTCAGAGAATTAGTTCATCATCATCATCATCATCATCATGATGGCAGGGTGCATGACACAGAGCAGTAGCTGAGAGCTACATCCTGATTGGTCAGCAGAGAGACAAAGAGACTCTGGGCCTGATATGGGCTTTGAAACACGCATCCTCCAACAAGGTTACACCCACTCAAGCAAGGCCATGCTTCCCAATCTTTCTCAAGTAGCGCCACTCTCAGAAGACAAACATTCAGATATATGAGCCTTTGTGAGCCATTCTTATTTAAGCCACCACATTCTGGAACTTATTGTATAATCAAATAGTCTGGAATTCACAACAGTGTGCCTGCTTCAGCCTTCCAACTGCCGGGATTATAGCTGTGAACTGCCATGACTACTTTCATCCTACTGTTCTGTATTATCTCCTTTGATGATCAATGTTGAGAAGTGGGGAGAAGGAAAAGGTAGATGCGTATGATCTGTGACTTAGGGCTGTTACCTACAAACAAGTTTGTGGCTCTGGTGTCCAAGTGGCCAGAGAATGCCCAATGGCATAGCTGCAGATGAAGTGACAGCTAACCTAATTTTCCTATTCCTTCACTTACCCACTGAATCATGTCTCAGTCCAAACTCCCACAGCTGTTCTGAGAACCCACCCTCTCTCCAGGTCCTCTTCCCTGGAACACTCATTGCGAGCTACCGGGCTTCTCACAAAGCCCACCCAGGGCAAATGCCTTTCCATCTCAGGGCTCCCCTTTCCCACTCTCAGATGAGATGGGGTGGAGGGGGCTGGAGTTGGAATGAATCAGTGTGTTTCTTTTTTATGTTTTTAATGGTACTAAGGGGGTTGAACCTGGGGCCTCACATATTTGAGGCAACTGCTCTATCCTCCCCCTTACCTTCTCAATGCTGGTCACAGACGGGTCAGCAAAGAGGCTGGTGAATGAGTGGATGTGTATGGTATGCAGATGGGAGACATTTGTCCTTAGCCTTGCATGGCAAACTCTGTTGCATCTGTCCAGGTTCACTAGGACAAAGAGGACTATCTGCTGGCTCTGGGAATGTGTTCCAGAACTGAGCAAAGAGGCTGGGCCTAGGGCTCCCTACTGGGAGGGCACAGAGAGGCCATTGTCATGTGACCCAAGGTTACTGTGTTATCCCAAGTCTGGTTGGCCTTGTGAGGGTAGGCACTCCTCATCTTCGTTTCCACACGGAGTCAGTAGCACCTATATCTGAGCAAGCCCCTCCTCTTCCATATGGCTTCTAGCATGTAAGTTCTATAGCCCCAGGAGTTCTCCCAAAGCAGCTGCTGGAGAGCATTAGGAAGCAGGACCTCTGTGTCCACACCTCCTGTGATGCAGATCTCTTCTCTTTCAGATGCATTTCATCTTCTCAGATAAGGCTGTGCTTCTGTTTGATTTCTGGAGAGTCCACAGTCCTACAGGTAAGAACCGGGAAGGTCACCTGTAGTTTGGCAAACCCCATAGTACCAGGCAGTGGAGGACCTGGGTCCTCTATTTTCTGTGGGCAGTTAAGGCACATTGAGCTAGAATTGTGCATTTCTCATTCTAAAGCAGGCTAGAAATAGGTCAGATGCCTGTCATGGCAAATGTGCCCTTCCCTACAACGGATGGCCATTGTCCAGCTACCCATTGCAGACTAAGCAGTGAAGTAGAACACCATTTTGTTAATATCTCACTAAGATTCTGTGGGTTGACTGTGCTAAGTGGTCTGCACTCAAGACCTCTCATGCAGTGGAGGCAACAGTGGCTGGACAGTCTTTCTGAGAAGTGTTTAGTGTCTGGTACTGGTTGTGAACTGCAGCCTCAGCTGGGTCACATTGTCTCCTCCTGTAGCCTGGGCTTCCTCATTAGCAGAGGCTAGGTTTTAAGAGCAGGTGTCCTGAAAGAAAATGGATGAAATGCATGAGGGTTACCTGCCCTGTGAGCTAGTGATAAGCTCAGTTGCTAAAGCCCTAGTTGCTTAGATAGCATGAAGAACTTAATTTGATTCCCAGCACCCATGTAAAAGACAGGCATGGCAGCGTGCACCTGTAATCCCTACACTGGAGAACAGAGAACAGGAGGATTCCTAGGACTTGCTAGCCAGCCAGCCTATCTCTAGCTTCAGCAAAAGATGCAGCCTCAAAAAGAATAAGGTAGAGAGCAATAGAATAAGATACCTAATGTTGACCCCTGGCCTCTATACACATGTGCACCCACACACCCTTGCATGAACATGTACACATGTATACACATATTCATATACGCATACAAAAGTAAAACCTACACTTGGAAGTTGCATAGCATTGTCTTATTGATGGATCCTAAAAGGGAGGAAACACGGCTCTCATCTCCTGTGGGTAGGATGTATGGGAGTGAACATCTTTGAAAGGTACACGCTATCACAGATAGTAGAGGGTGACCTGGAGAACTAAGGTAGATGTGTATGAAAAGAAGGGAGCTCGTGTCCTGCAGGAGTTGGATGATGAAACTGGATGCAGGGATGTATGCAGACAGAATGTGGTCATTTAGACAGAGAAGGCTGGTACAGACATGGAGCAGCAGAGGCTGCTGTGGAGAGGGAGCCGGGTTCTGAGAGTCTGGGAAGACTTGCTGTTATATGTATACACTTCACCATCATTAAACTTTTACCATAGGCATGTAATTGCCTGTGGTTGCCTATTAAAAACAAAAACAAAACACCTGTGGCTTTTGCCTTTGTGAAGGCTAACACAGGCTGTGGGTTTTCCTTTTCTTGCACTCAACACTTCCATGGTCAGATGTGTAGTTCTTCCTCAACTGAGTATCCAACAGTTGAGTTTAATTCTGACACCAGAGTTAGTGCACATGTCACAGACGAAGAGCACAGTCTTCGTCTGTGCCTGTACTTCTAACCAATGAGCTGTAAAATCAAGGCCATGACCCCCTCCTCACTCCCTACCCCTGCCCAAGTGGCAGCACTCTTGCTGGAACAACTTATACAACTCTACATAGGCATAATTAAGCTACTAACCACTGGTGATCAACTCGGCCTGCAGCCCCTGTCTGTTCCCCGGAGCCTGGGGTAAGGCTGAACGTTCCAATCTTCTTATCAAATGTTGGTTTCCCTCCATCCAGAGGCCAGCTACTTAGGGACTCCAGCCACAAGTCAATGTCACATAACCATACTAACAAGTATTTATTGGATATAGGGTTTCTTAGTATATAGTCAAAGCTGGCTGTAAAGTCAGTCCACCTACCTCAGCTTCCTCAGGGTTGAGATCACAAGCACGCACTACCATTCCCAGTTCCAAATATATTCTTATGTCATAAAGCTCATAAAATACTTTGGGTGAACCATTTATTATCTGCTATAAAACATCAGAGTTCATTTTTCCCAGAGGCACTAGCATATACTTACAATATTTAGGAAAATTAGGCAAGAAGAAAATAAACACCCATTGTATTCTAACTTGCTGTTGCTCTCCTGCTGTACCCCGTCCCAGGGTTTTTGGTATGCCTACATGTGAAGAATGTATGCTTCCAGGGTGTACACCACTCTATTTGCAAGAGAGAGATGTGTGCAGAATGTGGGGAGCTAATGGGGACGGTGTTGTGTGGCTTCTTCACCCTCACCCCTAGCTCTGCCAGAATGAGAAGCTACACTCCAGTATGTCAGAACTACTAAGAAATGTCTAGAGAGGCAAAGAGATAACGAAGGTCTGAGCTCAATAATGGTAAGGAGGAAGAGGCTGGTGGCTGGAGTGATGAGTGGAGCCCCCTGGGGAGTGTCTGGGGGAGCAGTGCTTTTCTACCACTTGGTTTTCTTGTTCTGGGGCACTGGGGATCAATCCTTGGGCCTCACTTGTGCTAGGCAAGTATTCTGTCTCTGGGCCTTTTTACTTTTTGAGATATGGTCTCACTAAGTTGTTTAGGTTGGCCTGGAATCCACTCTAGTCCACGCCAGCACTGAGCTGTATTCCACCTCCCTCAGCCATCAGAGTACCTGCAATTACATAGAGGCCTGTGTCCACATCTATCTTGCTTTTTTATTTATATGCATGTATGCTTATGTGTAGACGTGGATGTGGTTGTGTGTGCATGTTCATGGCAGAGGACCTTGGCTGTCATTCATCAGATGACATTCTCCCTTGTTTTCGAGACAGGATTTCTCACTGGCTTGGAACCTGCCTAGTAAACTAGATTGGGCTAGCCAGCAAGCCCAGGGATCTGGCTGTGTTTGCTTTCCCAGTGCTGGGAATACAACAGAGGTGGTGGCTGCTGCTGGTGCCGCCACCTCCTCCTCCCTTTTTCCCTCCTCCTCCCCATCAATCTATCTGCCTTTGCCTTTTTGCATGTCACCACATCTGACCACCTTATTTATTTTTAATTGGCAAAAATTGTCCATCTTATATGGCACTTTGAGATGTTTCAGTACATGTGTAGATTGTATAGCATTTAAGTCAGGGCTAGCCCATCTGTCTCTTCAAGCGTTTATCATTTGTTCATGTTGGAAATATGTAAAACCCTCTCCTATATTTTTTGTAATGTGATACACCATCATTATCTCCCATTACTGTATAGGACATGGCATACTAAAAACCTATTTTTCAACTTGGCCTCTTCACAGGCATGGCCCTCTCAGTGCTAGTAGTCTTGCTCCTGGCTATATTATATGAGGGCATCAAGGTTGGCAAAGTCAAGTTGTTCCACAAGACTCTGGAGAATCTGCCTAATACCAGCAGCCAGCAGCTCATCCTGGGATCAGACCAGGATTCTACAGGCTCTGGATCAACTTCAGCCAATGGTACCCGCCTCAGGTACAAACCATGGGTGGAAGGGTGGCCAGAGCATTTACTCTTACCCTGACAGGTGGTTGGGCCCAAAGAACTTTAGCCCTGTGAACAGAAAAATAATTTGGATCCCAGTAAGTATTTAGTAAGAAGAATTATAGCCTGGGTCTGTGGTGTGTGTGCCAAAGCTACCTATCCAGCATCCTCTTGGACAGATCCCAAGGATTCTCAGGGAACTTCAAACCTGTGCTGCAGGCCTGTCAAGCAGCAGACATGGGCAACTGGCCTTTCTCACCAAGCTCCCAAACACAGGAGATCTGCAGGTGTACCAAAGCAAGAACCGCCATCAGCCTAGTGTCCCACTTGATGGGAGAGGAGCATCCTTTCTTTGATCAGGCTTTATAGGCCCCGGTCTGCCTTTTCTGCAACCTCACCTATGCCTAATGAGCCTGCCTGCTACATCACCAGCCACCACCTTACCTTGGCGTCTCACACCCTCATAACCACCCAGTGTTTTACTGATAAGAAAATCAGCACTCAAAAAGGTTCAGAGATTTAATAGGCACCCAGGTCCACCTCCCATATTCAATTCAGGTGAGAGTCTGGCTTCCTAATTTCTTCTCATCCCTATTAGACAAAATTGACTACATAAACCATAATGGTTTCCCCATTTGCCTAGGATGGCAGGAAGCTCAGAGCTAAATGTGGTGGGAATGTCTCTTTGAAGAGAAATCTCTGTTAGGTAAAATGTCATGCTGAACTCAGAGGCTTTCTGTCCTTAGTAAAACACATCTGCTCATCACTGTTTTAACTAACTTGTTTCTCTTTTATGCCTAGGTGGTTTTTGTGGTACTTGGGCCAGTCCCTAGTCCATGTCATTCAGGTGGTCATTGGCTACTTCGTGATGCTGGCTGTAATGTCCTACAACACCTGGATTTTCCTGGGCGTGGTCTTGGGCTCAGCTGTGGGCTACTACCTAGCCTACCCACTTCTCAACATGACTTAGTGGGCCACAGCTGGAAAGAGCTGGGGCCTATGCTCTGGGCATTGCACTTCCAGCTGCTGTTTCTTACAATGGTCGTTGCTCACCTCTTTCCCAGTTCCTGGCAACTTTGATGAGCTGAAGCCAGGAAATTGTCCTTGGAGCTTAGAGGACATTGGAGCTACCTCCCTTCCCAGCCTGGCCTACATAGGGCCCAGGCCTCCTGTGGTGCCTTAAGCAAATGGCTGTGACTAAAGGGAACATGGAGAGACTGAAACCTGGAGTCAGGGTAGCTAGGCCTGTGACCATACACCTCAGACTGCAAATTAAAAATTTCCAAAGAGCTTCAGTGAGGAAGGCCATGGAACCTGGATACCCTCTTCTGCTTTGTGCCTTAATACCAGGAGCATCTCCAGTCTTGGGGGATGGACCATGCCAGCTCCTTCTCACCTTTTGCCTTAGAACACATAAAGACTGTCATTGACAAACAGGTTTTTCACCTTGAACTCCTGGTTGGCAATTTTGCACATTTATACAAAACAAAGTTTCTAATGAGCTCACTGTGTCTGTTGAGACCCATCTCCCTTATTTAGGGAAGACTGATGCTGCTGACTAAAGGCAGAGAGCCAAGCCTGTTAGCAAGGCTACAGACATGTCCGCTGTGCAGATAAGCCCTTTTCATTTGATAGCACGGCATGAAGCAGCTTAGTCTCATGACCGGGGCCTTACCCTAACCTCTTGTGTGCATCACAGAGAGCAGCATTTCTAACAGAGCTGCCTGCCCCTTGTTTCTTACTTGCTGCTAACTCCTAATGACCTGGTAGGGAGCCGTGAGTCAGTCACTGAAGTACTGATTCAGCGAGGTGTGTGTGTGGGGTATGTCAGAAGGGAAGTGACTGAGGGTGCAATATGCAATCAGACCAAAGCCAGGTCATGTTAAGAGTTAACTGGACTCCTGGTATTTGAGCCCTTTTGATTTTACAGATAAAAGTTAAGAGACTGGAATGGGGACACATACCTGTAATCCCCAGTACTCAGGAGAGTGAACCTGGAGATTATGGGTTCGAGGGCAGCCTGGACTACATACAGAGTTCCAGGCTAGCCTGGGATGCACAGTGAAACACACACACACACACACACACACACAGAGCAGTGATTGCTACACACTAGTGTCTATGTTCAAGTACTGCCTGGACTCAATGAAAAGATGGTTTTAAGCTTTGGGAATTAAAAACATACACTTTAATAAATTTCTATTTTTGAACAGTCTGTGGTTGTTGGCCTATTTCTTTCCTCTTTCCAACAGTACACAACTCTTACATGTTACCACTGCAGGAGCTGGAGGGACACATGAGACCAAGAACTAAGATTGCATTTGTTAAAGACCACTCTGTGTGCAGAGAAACTCCATCTGGAAATGTGCCTGTTGGTAGACACCACAGTGTCAAATGAGTCATGGTAGGTTCATGTAACAAATACCTGCTGTAAGAAGAGTAACTGTCTCACAGACTATAAACACCCATGTTAGCAGGACAGTTAGCACCTTCCTTCCTGGAGACAGATGCAACACCATGGCCGTCTTGCCATTTGAAGTAAGAAGCAACAGTCACGGGAAGTATAGTATAGGGCACCTGTGGGATTGCTTGTTGCATTCCCTCTGTTCACAGTGCAGTCTCCAGTCTCAATGCCAAGCCCTGACCAGTTTCAGCTCCCAGGGCACTGCTGAGACAGACATTTTCATGAGTGACTGGCAGGTTCCTCAACTTGACACTGTTTTACTACAGTCATAATATTTGAGGCTTTTATGGGGTAATGGTCTGTATAAAATTTTTTGCCTATGGTCCATAGAATAAATATATGGTTAGACTTTGATTTTAGCATTCTTCAGAGCCAAGTCACAGAAGGTACTTTCCCTACTTGATTTTCTTAGAAAACAAATACCTGCATAAGTGTTGACTAAGTGCTGGGCAGTTCTAGCCTTTATGTAATTATTAACTCATTCAATCCTCACTACCACACAGGAACTCTCTGCCTTCATCTCAGAGATGAGGAAGCTGAGGTAGGAGACAGACATCTATTGATGAGCAGCAGAGATGGGACTCAACCGTTTCCTCACCAGCTCAGATGAGGGGCACAGGTCACATAATGCCTGTGGTATACAGAAGTGAACAGAAACTGGAGACGATGAGCCTGTGTTGTTTCCACAATGGCTGAAAATTCTCAGATTTGGATGGGGAGCCTGAATTTTTTTTTTTTTCTTTAGTACTAGAGTCAAATCTAGAGCTTGTACATGCTAGGCAAGTGCTCCATCACTGAGCTACACAGCCCTGGGACCCATATTCCTAGCAAGTAGCATTAGCTCCTTTTCTCTACCCAAGGACGGTAGACAAGAGTCCAGCTCTTGATCAGCTAGACAGGACCAGAACTCTGTCCTGCTTGCTAGCTATGTAACTGTGGACAGCTTACTCTGCTCCTCTAAGCCTGGGGATAACAGGACCAGTGACTCAGCAGTTAATAACACTGCTCTTGTAGAGGACCTGGGTTTGGCTTTCAGCACCACAAGTAGCTCATAACTGTCTGGAATACCCAGTTTCAGAGACTCTGCTGCTTTCTTCTGCCCTCTGCATGCACATGGTACAGAGACACATGCAAGCCAAACATCCATACACCCCAAATAAGAGCGAATCTCGTTAACAATGGTGATAACCACGTCTTCTTCAATGACTGGCACTGCACAGACTGTCTCATTGCTATCAGTCACTTTAGAAGACAATGTTATCCACATTTACAGAGAAAAGTGAGACTTAGAGGTTGAAGTAACTTGTTTAAGTAACTGTTTTAATAGTCTTTCTAGATGCTTCCTAGATGCAAATGTGGGAGACAGGCACAAAGCCTGAAAGGGTAATGGCCGATGCAGTGGAAGTCAGGATAGTCTTGCAAACATTTAAAATCATGGAATGTTTTTGTTATAATTATTCTGTTTGAAGACTAGCTGCATGATTTTTGGAAGATACTAGAATAAGTAAAAGTCCACATGTATTTCCTCACTGCTCTTCTCTGCAGCAGTGTTGGCCCCTGGGGCTCATAGGCAATGGAAGGACCCCCCACCCCCACCCCAGATATCACAAACAGTGGATATTACAGACCCCTGCTTCCCTTCCCTGCATGGCTCCTTGGCCTGCAGTGTAGACCACAGAAATCAGTACACGGTGGGACTGGTCCTTCGATAACTGTGATGTCCTGGGCCCTATGCAGCTGTGGTGAGCTACAACTTCAAGTTCAAGGTCAGGTGCCAACAGGAATACATCACAGTGCTTTTGCACACATTAACTGACAAGTTACAACTCCCACCCTTAGAATTCCAAGAAGAAGCAGGACAGCCCTGGAAACCAAACTCAGTTTCTCCTCAAGGGCCCAAGTCAAGTTTTCTTGTAGTCATTTATTTTAGTCTTGTTAATTCCAAATACTTATTGACCTCTTTTATAAAATTTAAGGCAGAGATAGAAGATACATGTCCCAGAGCCACAGGCTAGGACAGCATGATCTCTCAGTTCTCCATGAAGACCCTTCCCCAGGATACAGGGCCTGTTGCTACAGCTCTGGTGAGCCCTGGGAGAGCAGGAGGGCTCATAGGTCAACTTGAGAATTAATGAAAAGAAAAGGCTTGGGAGAAATGGCAGGATGCTTGTGGCTGGCTACAGGTGACCCTTCCAGCCCTTCCTCCATGGTAGGGCCACTCACTGAGGGCTCTTATACCACCAGTTCTGCAGAGAGACTCATGATCCTCTTCACCAGGTCAGGCAGCGCTCAGATGTCTGAACCACTGTCCTCAGAATGTCCACCAGGACCTCACCCTGTGGTTCACCTAGACCTGAGGCCGGCTGTGCAAAATCATGCTTAGGGAAGGGCTGGAAGAGAAACCTGTGTGCCTGTTTCCTAGGTCTTCACCCCAGCCAATCAATGTCATCGTCATCATCATCATCTCCAAAAAGGGGTGTTGGGGGCGGGCGTCCCTTCATGCTCTGACAAAACAGGAAAGAGAGGTCAGTCCTCACATATCCCAGCCCAGGTGATTTCCTGCCTATGAGGGGAAGTGACCAATGGCTGCCCTGCCTTTTGTTGAAAAGAACATGAACTGGAAGGGCAGGTTTTGTGGCCAGAGAATTGATCCAGATGAAGCTGGGACAAGCAGGCATGGAGGGAAGCCATCTTTCAACAGAGACAAAAGACCAACTTTGCTTGACTGATTTTGTAATTTATTTGTGAAGCAAGTATTGATTGGGCAGATATGCCAACTTACATGCTTTGTATGGAAAAAGTAGGTTCATTAAGGAGACACTGGAAAAGAGAAAGAAACAGAAGCAAAGCAGCTTGGGACAGGAGAATAAGAGAAGATGACAGAAGCTCAGAAAAGTACAATCACATTCGAAAGCCAGCTGTGGCCTGGGGTGGCAGGACAAACTCAGAAAGATGTGCATGTAGAGGTATGTACAAACTCTAACGTGGAGAATCCCAAGAGATAAAGAAAGCCCACAAAGGCAGGACCCATGCTGTCTTTAATGGGAGCGTGGAATAAAGGGGCTAAAGAGTTCTAGGACCCCTCAGAGGGTCCCAACCAAAGGACACTGCTACAGATTCAAGTCCTGGGCTTGTTACTGTCAGAGGAGGTGGAAACCTTTTTTGATGGGCCCAGTAAGAGGCCTCAGGGGACTAGAGGTCGCCCTCAAAGGTGACAGTAGGACTGTGGCCCCTCCTTCATCACTCTTTCCCTTCCCGACCTTCAAGAGAATGCTTTTTCTCTACTCACGTCTTTGCCACAGGACTCAAAGCAGTGGAGTGTACTTGTGGACTAAAACCTCTGAAATGTTGAGCCAAAATATACAGTTTCTCTTTATACACTTCCTACATCCATCATTTTGTGCCAGTATTAATGTGGGCTAACACAAGGAGCCACGTAGGAGGTCCTACTCTTCTCAGGATTTAAGTTCTGGCCTTCATCGACTTTAGTTGGGTGACAGCAGGGCTTGAGACTACAGACACGCATAATACATAACTACAGGACATATCAGTAGAAGGCTAAATGAGAATGTGTATTTATTTTTCTGAATACCTAAGAAACAGATAATTAACTTAATGGAACTGGCAGTAATACCATCAACATATTGCTCATCATTTGGGATACTAATCTTATTTCCTCCTTCATTTTCTATGCAGAACTTGTAGTCGGTATTCTTAAATGCAAACTGAATTTCTCAGGAAGGTAGGCTAATGGGAAGAATAGGTACACCTTTTCTGAAGGCAGGCAGGCAAGGGGGAAGGGCTCTGGTTTACCTGAGCTGGATTCCTGATGTTACTGCCTTCTGGCCAAAAGCAAAATTCACTGCAGGTGGATGGTAGAGAGGGGCAATAGGCTTTGCCCTTGTTCAGCCTCATGGTTCTTTCCTGGACTGACCCCAACACTCCTGTCTCTTCCACACACATTTCATGACAGTGAAATTCCCATCACAGTCAAAATGGCCAAATGTCAGATCACAAGCCAGGGCTCGAAACCCGGCTCTGTCTGCAGCTTCCTTTGTGGTCCCTGACTCTCCTGTCCCCTAACTTGAAGCTACACTGTCAACACTGAACCCATCTGCTGCTCAGGGTGTTAAGAGGACAAAACAAGCAGCAGCTTGGAAGCGGGCTGGGTGAGCAAAAGTTCTAAGAAACAAGTGACCCCAAAGAAGCCTGGGCTCGGTCCTATCTACCATCAGCCCCCTGCAAGTGACTTTCTAACCTTTCTTTGTCTAGGGAGGAGGAGAGCCAACAAGCTCATCTTCAGAGTCCTTCCCACCTTCCCTCACTCCAAACAGGACTCATTCCCCAGGGGACAGAGGCGATGGTGCTCTTTTAAGAGTACAGTGGCAGCTGCCCATCCCTACTCTGCTTACAGAGCTGCCCACTCTGGGTCCCAAGCTCACTCCCACAGGGTCCTGTACACAGAGTCCAGGAAGTAGGCCACCAACAGACTCCTTTCCTCTTCTCTGAGCCTGCAGGGAAGAGCCCCCACGTGGTGGTATGAGGACTCAGCAGAGCCTGAGATTTCCTTACCACCTCGTCTTCATCCTCTTCCTCTGGCTGTACTTTGGGCTTTGGACCTTTCAGAGTTGCCCCTTTAAACAGTTCGTCCTCTTCATCTCCAGAGAGACTAAAGGAAAATCAAGCCACAGATATGTTGCTGTTTCTACCCAGGTCACAGTGCCAACCAGCTACAAGGGTTATGGGCCCTTAAGTGAGACCCACTCATCCAATTCAAATATCTCTTCCTATACTGTGCATCCGTCCCTCCAAAGACCACACCCTGTGTAATCCCCTCCACAGCCTATACCCTGTATTAGCCCCTCCAGTCTACACCCTGTACCAGCCTCCATCCAGTCTACAGCTAGCACAATCCCTAAAGTTAACAAACCAGACTCCACTACTCTTCTGCTTAAATTCTTTTACTGGCTTCTCACTGTACTTACATAAAATTCAAGCTTTAACAGTGACATGAAATAATCACATATCTTGGCCCCTTCTTTCTTTTCCAACTTTCAGCTTTACCCTACTTGTCCCCTTTTAGTTCCTTATGGTGTGTCCATCCCACCCGAGCACTTTGTGAGTGCTCCTCTCTCTGCAATCTCTTCCTACTGTGAGTCTGGATGATTCAGTACTTTTTGAATCACAGTTTAAATGCTACCTTCCAGATGCAATCCCCTAACCACCTATTTTAACAGACAGAATTCTCACTCCTTATTCTCAATACTAGCACAGTTTCTTTTTGTTAGCATGTACTTCACTGTTATAATATGTAAGTATGTATTTGTCTCCACCACTAGACTATAAATTCCTCAGACTCATAAGCCACACCTGCCTTGCCCGCTACACTATCATGGGTCCTGCCCCAGAGCCCTGTATGTAGAGCTGTTGATAAGGAAATGAATGAGTACAATAGCCAGTATCATCTGTCAATGCTGAAAAGGAGACTCCTCCCACAGACAGCCTGCTCAGAGTACACACCTGTTGTGCTGGGAGTCCTGGTTGTGTCTGAGGGTTGTTCCTGCAGCAGCGGAAGCAAGCTCTGTGTCCAGCAATGCCTCAGGGGGACCAGAGCTACTGACATCCTCAATTTCTTTGAGCTCAGAAGGCTGAGGCTCTCCTGGGCTTGCAGGGTCTAAGGCTGGTGGCTCCCCCTTCTCAGGGTCTGGTGTCAGTGACAATCTCCTGGAGCTTCCTTGTAGCAGATCATCTGGGGCTACTTCCCTGGCACATTCCCCCAATACGTTGTCGGGCTGCACTGCTCTCTGACCACCAGCAAGTGGTTCCTCGCTCTCAGAGTCTATAGTTACAGGTCCTGGAGGTTTAGGTGGGATTGAAGTTGGGGGACCCAGGACTCTGGGGGATGGGATGCCGGCTGGCTCAGGTGGGAGGGAACTGTCCTTCATTTCTGAGGGTATCTCCACTTCTGAGGACTCCTCTTTCCTTGTCTGTGTACCGTTCTGTGGCATGGGGAGAGCCTGTGGAGGCAGTGGGGTGGTCTCCCCTACTTCCTGTTCAGACAGCACCTTGGGAGCCTCTTGCGTCTCCTCACTTGGGGGTGCTGGAGATAGCCCAGGCGCGGTGCGCCCTGGCTGCTCCATGGAAGGTCTCAAAGGCTTGTCTTCTTCCTCCTCACTGCTGCCCTTTCCTTGCTCTTCCTCCTCCTGGTCCAACAGCTGCAGAGTCACCATCTATTCAAAAGCCAAGGAGGAGATGTGGACGGAAGTTTCTGTCCCACCCAGTCCCACAGCTGTTTAGTCCCAAATAAACACACAGAGGCTTATATTAATTATAAACTGTTTGGCCTATTGGTCAGGCTTCATATTAACTAGTTACCTCTTATTTATTAACCCATTTCTATTCATCTGATTATATTTACATGGTCTTGGCTTACTGGTGATGCCTGCATCTCTTGCTTCCTCGGCAGCTACATGGCATTTCCCTTGCGATGCACCCTCTGTGTTCTTCCCACAATTCTCCTAGTCTGGTAGTCCTGCCTATACTTCCTGCCTGACTACATCCTGCCTGCCCATTGGCCCGAAACAGCTTTACTCATCATTTAATAAGAGACACATATATTCACAGCCTACAGAAGGACCTCCCCCATCATGGAGATGAGCACTGAAAAGACGACCGTGTGCACTGACAGGTGGCACAACTAACCCCTAATTCAAATAACTATGTTGCTCACTGTCAGAAGAGGCTGGCCACATCCATCCAAGGATATGTCATCTCAGAGATTCCCATCACTGATGGATGGTCTTGAGTAACTTTTAAAGTATGAGTGCTTAGATGGCAATTAAACAAAATGCCCATTCCAGTGAACCAACTGAAGCTTTCTGACTGTACCTTGATTGTATGCATGATGGTCCTGAGAATGGTCCTGCCATCATAAGATTCCTCCAGCTCAAACTCTCCCCTCAATGACTGGAACACTTGGTTCATGATCTTCTTAACCTGTGCCAATATCAAAAAGACATGCTACCAAAATCAAGTCACTAAGTGATGCATTAAAATTACAGAGTTGGAACTCTACAGAGGGACCCAGATGGTCAAGAATAGCTGGTGACACTAAGAACTGCCACGGTGAAAAGAACAGTTTCAAAGAAGAATTTCCTGCCAAGGGCACAAAGTGAAGATAAGAGTACAAGACTGTCCAAAGATCATTTGTCAATATGATGTACTCCAACTGTAAGTACAACACCCAGCTTGACCACAGGGACTAGGGGATGCTGGATGCAGCACCATCCTCCAGCTCTTCTCTATGATTTAAGGGTATTTCCCATATCTGTCAAAGCTTCAGAGGAATAGAGTCTCTGGATTTGCTATCAGAGTGGTAGATTTTTATCTAAAGAGTTAGTTTCTATGTCAGACAAATGACGATGAATAAAGCCAGAAAAACACTGTCAGTATCGCAAACAGGCCATGTTTTCTGAATATTTGATATGCATACACACTGCCTTGATATGATAGGTTTTGCCACTTTGAATGTCAGCTCACCTTCTCTGATGGGTCAGCAGCAGCTCTAACTGCAGGTGCCTGGGACTTACTCTTCTCCAGTTGCTGGATGTGCTCATTCTCCGCAGTGAAGGCTGCAACCTGTGCCTGGAGAGCTAAGCACTGCAAATGAACAGACTACGCTGTGGCCCTGGGAACCTGGGTGACTGTCATAGTCAAGAAACACACAAGAACCATTCTGGGCACAAGTCCTGACTTCACCTAGGTCTGCTGGGCCTAGCCTCAGTCCTCAACCCAGACCAGCTGAAGAAGTCACTCTACTTCCTCAACAATCAGTTCACACTTCCTTCCTATCAAGGATACTTGACTTGTTCTCAATGAGGTGAAGAATATAATGAAAACAAGGGGTATGAGTAAGGGTAGTCAAAACATACAAATACTCAGCAACTTATCACCTCCAAGTCAAAGGGGTTTAACTGGATAATGCAAAGAACTGCCCTTTGGACAAGGGACATCATAACATGTCCCTAAGTCACCTTCTAGCTCTCTTTCACATATAAGTATGCCACCATATCCCACACTCTACCCTTCTACCTTACCATGGTTACCTGTCCTTGGCTCTGCTCAAAGATCACCTCCTTTGGACCTCCTTCCCAACAACTTTAGGCACTTCCTCTTCTAGGCCTCTCCAGACCACTTATCTGTTTCTTTTCTGTGATTATCTGATTCTTGAAAGCAGAGTTCTTTGCATGCCCTTTCTCTAACACAGTGACTGGAGCCAAATTAATAGTTGGTAAATATTTGCTTAATAAATAAAGGATCAAATAGGAAACAAGTCCTAGAAGACTTGTTTTGTCTTTTTACAGGTCCCTGACCTGCCATACTACATAAACATGTGAAAGATAACTAACTGAAAATTACACAAGCCTGGCTGTGTTTTCTAACAGTTAATATTGTCTGAGCTCAAGAGGTTGGCTGGACAAGTCTCCCACAGCCTGGAGGCCTTATGTTGCTAAGCTGACTCAGGGAAAGAACTACCTCATCCTGAAGGCGGGATAGCTTCTGCTGGTAGGCATCCCTCTGCGCACAAACTTCCTGGTATTGCTGCAGGTGCTCCTCCTTTGCAGAGGCCAAGAGATGCTCACACTTTGCTTCCCATTGGCTCTGCAGCTCAGCCTGTGCGAGAGATAGCTGCCAAGGGAAACAAGAGCTGTGTGTAGAGATAGGTGTTGGGGGTTACAACAAAAGAAGCCCAACCTCCATAGAATTTAAAGATCCTTGCCCATGTAGGTGGAAAACAACTGTTGAAAAGATCTTAATTACTTTGAAAGTATCCTTTTATTCCTTCTTGGTCTCTATGTGAGTCCTGAATGCACATGTATGTGTATGTATGTTCACACTCATGTCCACACAGAGAGATTAGAGGATATCAGTTGTCTTTCACTCTCTGTGTTATTCCCTTGAGACAGGGTCTCTCACTGAACCTGGAGCTTGGCTGGCAGCCAGCAAGCCCCAAGGATCCTGTCTCCACTGTGCACATGCAGCATACCCAACATTTTACTTGGGTACAGGAGATTCAAACTCAGGTCCTCATGCTTACCCAGTATCAGGTCCAAAGTAGCTCCCCAAAATGGCAGTGCTGGTGTCAAAGGCCTAAACAGGGCTCTGGCTGAGTAAACAGACCCCCTCTTTAGGCTTTCTTTTTAGGGTTTCTGTTTATTAGGAACCTCCCTTAATCCAAACCAAAAGTCAACCACCCCAAAGGTAATCTAGTTCCCACCAATCCGAACAGCCTGTATTGGCTCAAGGTCCCCCAACCTGCTGACTGTCAAATAAAATTTGCTTGCTTTTCCACCATCTTGCTTCTCCCTCTCCATGTCCCAGAGATAGGTGTGATGATCTGAGCCCAAATAAACCTTTCTTTCTAGTCATGGAGTGGTCCAGATTGGTGGTTTCACTGAATCCTCACTTACATACAGCAAGCACTCCTATCTGCTCAGTCATATCTCAGTGCCAAAGTAAATATAGCTGTTCAACATTGGGAGGGAGATGGCACTGGTTGCCAGGCTGTCCATTATTCTCCCAGGTGTATGTAAGCCTTAAGAAACCTCTTCCTAAAGGTAACTGGAAGCTACATGTTCTCTCTGTGTCCTTCACAGCTTCCTTTTATCTCCAAGTGCCCATTACCTGATCTGCAGCCACTTGGTCTGTGGACACTCGAGCCTTTTTCAAGAGCTGTCGAAGTCTGTCCAGTTCCTCCTGGTGTGACTTGCGAATCTCATCCATCTCCTCCTCTGCCTGGCAGCGTTCTTGAGCCGATTTCTTTTTCCTCTCTGAAAGGTTCTTAGGAACAAGAGAACCACCCTCAGCATCAGCTGAACAGTGTGGATGGGGTGATGGTCAATGACCTCAGTGGGTCATTTCTAAGAATGGTTCCTTGTTGTGGGATACTTTTACACTGTGTGAAGATGTATTGCTATGATTGGTACAGTAAAAAGATGGATGGCCAAAAATTAGGTAGAAGAGTATGGGTGGGACTTCCTGGCTGAGAGAACCCTGGGAAGAAGAAAGGCAGGGTTGCCAGCCAGATGCAGAAGTAACAGGATAGGCAATACAGAGATGAAGTAATGAACCTCATGGAAGAATGCAGCTTTTAAAACATGGGCTAATTATAAGAGCTATTTAGGAAAAAGCCTAAGCTAAGATTAAGCTTTTATAATTAATAATAAGTCTTGGTGTCATTATTTGCAGGCTGGCAGTCCCAATGAGAAAGTACAACTTCAAATGTCACTTAATATGAGGCATGTGAATCCACATAGGGCCTGAAAAAGCTGGAGGGGGGGGGGGAGTTCCAAGTAGGCTCAATGCTTTTGGCATGCAGAGCCCAGCTCTTTTAAGAGACCCTGCTGTGCAACTGAGCAGCCAGCACTAGGTACAAACACCTGCCACATCTAGACACAACAAATTCCCAGAGCTGGGGCAGGTAAATGTGGCTCTGGGCTGGCATCTGCCAACATGAGGCCAGGCTCTCACAGAACTGAGGAGGATGAAGCCAGCCACCAGTACCAGTCCAAGCTTTGGTTCACTCAATCAAAAAATACTGCAGATGCACAGAAAGCCAGGTGCACACACACACATACTCTCTCCCTCTCCCTCTTTCTCTCTTGGTATAGTATGGTTAAAAAGGTGCTCGGGTACTGAAGGCAAAAAAGAAAATGGGTATATAAGCAATTTAAAAATAATAAAGTCTTTAAAAAGAGAGTAAAGCAATACAAAAAACTAACCCAAGTAAGGATGAAAGATATTATAACACAGAGAGTTTGGACCTTATTAAGTGCTTTGTTAATTTTAAATTTTGAATGCTAATGAAAAGACAACACCTGCTGAGAGACATTGGATTATGGAAGGGACTGCTGAATTAGACCAGCCTATATACTTTAAGGATGTCTTGGCTTCTGAATGGAAGTTGGGAAATATATTGCATTAGGGGAGAGGAAACGAAAAGCTATGGATTCCTTAAAAATTAGTAAAGATCAAATTTGGTGGGGAAGACCGCCTGAAAATCATGGTTACAGACATGAAGAAAGAAAAAAAAAAAAAACAGGAAAAACTATAAGACAGATGATATATATGCTGATCACTCTACAAAGGATAGCTCCCAGAATATTACATGCTATCCTTTCATATGCCATGAATAGAGGTTTGGTTATACAGTCCAAACAGAATTATATGGTTAACAGATACCCTTTACCTGCTCAAACATAGCCCCCCCGCCAAATCATCTCTAGCTGATTTGTGCACAGTGCACATTCCATACTTGTGTTTCTGCAGGTGTGTGTGTGTGTGTCCTTTAAAAGTTTGTGTTTCTTAGAAAAATTGGACCAGAAACCAATAAAGACAAGTAGCCCAGGTGATCCAGCCTCTCAAATTGCCTCGGTTGCCATTTCCTAAAGATTCTGCATCTAGAACAACTTCAAAGCTGCTAGTTGAGATAGTCCAGCCTCAACTCTAGCCAAGAATTTTCAGATAAGCTCTACACTTTCCCACTGCACAGAGACTGGACAACAAACGATAGAGCTCACACTCCCAGGACTTGACCATTATTTCAATTTTTTCAGGGTGTCCTAAAGATGTCACTGCCCCCAGACATCAGGAAGTAATTTTAAGAACATGACGCCCACTCCCAAGAGGTAGGGTGGGTGGTTTTTAATTGTTCAGTGGGTTATGGATGTTCATCATCATTTGGGGGGTTGGTTGCAAATTATTAACAGTTATGGTCATGGAGGAAACTAAACAAAGGATCTCATTCTGAAAACAAATGGGAGATATAGCAATGATAGGAGAAAAGGATAGATTATTAAATCTACTTTTCAACTAATCTTAAAAAAAAAGCAACCACTAATCTTAAAGAATTTATGTTGATAAGGATTTTTGTATATTGATACATATTTAAGGTTGAGAGACATAAAAGCTTAAGTTGGTTATCTAAAAATAAGTTTTGAGGTCTAAAAATTTATTTTGAGGATGGTAATACAAGTTTGAAAATGGTTTAGGTATAAAACTTTAAATTCATCAAGATAGGATAGATAATAGAGTATTTTCTAAATATGCCAAATACAAATGGATTAGATATTGTGAATATAATTCTTACTTGATAATTGTTCTTATTGTAATGGATTAGATATTGTGAATATAATTCTTACTTGATAATTGTTCTTATTGTATATAGTTTTACTATGCTAGAGTTAAATCCTTTTCTTTTTATTTAGACAAAAGTGAGAAATGTAGGATATTTGTACACTACGAGAAGATGTATTGCTGTGATTGGTGTAATAAAAAACTGAATGGCAAACAGCTGGGCAGGAGAGTATAGGTGGGACTTCTGGGCAGAGAGAACTCTGTGAAGAAGAAAGGCAGGGTCACCAGCCAGATGCAAAAGAAGCAGGATGAGCAGTATGGAGATGAGGTAGTGAGCCTTGTGGAAGAATGTAAATTAAAAATTATGGGTAATTTAAGTTATACAAGATCTACTTAAGTAAACTCCTAAGCTAAAGCCAAGCTTTTATCATTGATAATAAGTCTCCATGTCATTATTTGCAAGCTGGCTGTTTCAACAAGAAAGTACTATTATAGTTCCTTTTTAAGCATCCCCCATTTTATATTTTGTATCCCTGCTATTGGGTAAGATAAACTGTAACGAGGAAAAAGCAGGCAACAGATTTACTTCTGTTCTCTTAAAAGATGGGGACAGCATAACTTTAGTGTAGATACAAAAGGGCAGACATTTATATCTGCCTGGCTGATGAGAAAAATCAATGGACATAGTCTCTTTGGATGTTAATACCTTAAAATGCCTCTTAAAATGCATACATCCAGAAATGCTACAAATTATAAATTTGTAAATTCTAGTCAAAGGAAGGACAGTCAATGTGATAGTATCTGCCCAAGATCAGAAGGAATTGCTTTAAAAAGCACAACAAAATGAAAAGGGCCTGGGAAGATGACTAAGTGGGAAACCACTTGCCACCTAAGTGTGAGGTCCTTAGTTCAGGGCCTCAGACCCATATAACAGCAGACTTCATCTCATCACTCCTATGGCAAGAGGGGAAGTAGAAACAGGAGCATCTTTGGAAGCCCACAGGCCAGCTAGGGAACAAGAGACTCTCAAACAAGATGGAAGGCAAAGGCTGACACTAAGCTTGTCCTTTGACTTCCAATCATGTGTGTGCATGCTTCTGCTCTCATGATCTCTCCCTGCCTACTTTCACATCACACACACACACGTTTTAAAGTGATAAAAACAAAGAAGAGAAAAAACATTTTATATGTTTACACATAAAATCCATGTAAACACAGATCCAGATTGACCCCAAAAAAGGTAGTAGTCAAGAATAAATTTAGAGGTTCACTAAAATCTCTGTAAGTTTCTTTTCATATTAAATACTCTAAAAGTAAGAAAAAGATAGCAATGTTCCTGCTTTGTCCAATGGGGTGATTACCCTGATATAAAAACTTTAATCATTAAAATTTAAAATACCATGTAATGCAAAAATAGTAGGCAGGGTAAGTGGGTTGAAGAGACAGCTCAGCAGTTAAGAAAGCTTCCGAAGGACCTGTTTTTGGGCCCAGGCCCCACACTGGGTGGCTTATGACAACTTGTAACCATAGCTCCACAGGATCTGACACTCTCTTTTGGTTTTCTAGTGTACCCACACATCCACACATCCACACAAAAAATAATAATAACAAAGAGGGTTTGTTACTGGTGGTCGATTTGGGGGGAAACAGGGTTTTACTATATATCCTTAGCTGATCATTATGTAGACCAGTCTAGCTTTGAACTCACACAGATCCACCAGTGTCTGCCTCCTGAGTGGTGTGATTAAAAGCACATACTATTACATCCAGCTGTTTTTTGGGGGGTTGGCAAGGTCTCATTATGTAGCCTTGGTTGGTCTAGAATTCATTATGTAAGACCACCTTAAATTCACAGAGATCCACTTGCCTCTGCCTGGTTCCAGAGTCCTGGGATTAAAGGATCATGCCTGGTATGTCTTCAAAAAATAAGAATAAATTTTAAAAAGTATCAAGAAGGAAAAATATTAGTAATGTTTATGGCTAACAAAGGATTAATACTCTTAATAGTCTAATAGGAAAGAAGATATAGGACTCCAAAAGAGAATTCACAGGAAAAATATAAATAGGTATGAAATACGTGAAAACTTTATTACTAATAAAAATTCATAGCTGCTAGGCATGGTAGCACACACCTTTAATCCCAGGACTCAAGAGGCAGGGACAGCAGTTGGAGGCTAGCCTGGTCTACATAACTTCAGGACTAAATAGAAAGACCCTGTCTAAAAAAAAAAAAACAAATGAACAAAAACCTATTCAGTCTGTGGAGGTCCACAGCAGTTTGAAATGAGAAACTAGAAACATAAATATCCATTGATCCAGCACAGGACAGCTGCACAGTGGGCTAACAGTAGGCTGCTGTGCAGTAGTGAGTATGGTGCCCTCAGCACTCTTAAAAACATTAAAAACAACCCCAGTATTGTTTAGAAATGTTATCAGAACATGTTTGTATAAGGGGATATGCAATATTTTATGCATACAGAGAGTAACCTGGAAAATGCATGTAATGTTTACGGTTCTTATTTATAACCTTTACAATGAGAGAAGGAATTAAAAACTACATTTTAATTTCATACTTTTCTGTATTGTTTGCACTTTCCCTAATACATTCATACTATAAAAAATTTAAGGGGTGCAGGTCAAGGTTAGGAGATGCAGGCATGCTGCATCCCAAGGCTTTGGTGCTGGTGCTAAGCCAAGCCAACACCCGAGGAGTCCAAAGCACCCTCTGAGTACACAACTGGGTGGTGAGCACTGGAGTGGGGTGGTGAGAGCAGCTGCCTGCAGTAGGGGCTGCTGAATAAAGAGGAATTGTGTTGGCCTACTCGGGCTATGGGGGCCCAGATGCCTGGGTCATCCCGACTATCACCAGTAGCCTCTAGGCTGAGTATAATCAGAACAGGAACCGGCGTTTAATCAAGATCTCTCAAATTTATCCTCATGGACTTACATGGAGGGCCATGTAGTCGTTACCTGTGTGGCCAGTCTTTTGATTTGTATGTATGCCAAAGAGACTATAGGCTTTGGAGTGCTCAAGACCCAGGCCCAGACAATTGGTACAGTGCCTGGAGGACCCCCTCATCCAAGTGGAAGCTTCATAATAGAGTGATGGAAGCTGATGTCAGGAAAGGGATGGTGGGTGGGAGGGACAGGGCCCTGGAAATACCTTACTAAGCTGAGTATAGGACGGTGAGACTTTTGCTTTTCTCTGAATAAATTTCAACTCTTAAAAATAATGAAAAAGAAATCTGTGTATTAATCAGCTATGCCTGGCCACTGGCTCCAAGAGGAACTTGGCTTTTGGAACTTACCTTTTCCAGGGACTCCTTCTCAGCTCGGAGGTCAGTCAACTCTTCCTCCAGGGATGTCACCTTGAGCTCCAGCTGTCTCCGGCTTTGCTTTTCATTTTTGAATTTGGACTGTGATTGCTCAGAGGCTTCTCGGAGCTCTAGGACAGAGGAGCAGGGAGACATGACTGTAGAACCAGAGATGCAGTGGACACCACAGCATTCCAGAAGCTCTTTCAAAGTTGCATGCTGTGATCTCTCAAGTGTACCATTTGAGCCCTCAAGACCTGAAATAAGGGTTAGCAAGCCTTACCCTGACTCTACCACCAATCCATGCTTACCCTGAAAAGGGTAACTTGTGTATGTATATACCTCCTTGCATACATGCAAAGTGTGAGAGAATGTTCTCTGGATAGTCAGAGACCAGCTTTAACACTGGTCACTCATGCAGTTCTATTTCCACTACCCTATGACTACATGGGGTGCCTTTGTTGAGCAGAGCTCAGGTCCCTTCTCACTGCCTGGATAAGAGCCTCAACTTTCTTGGTAACTAAGACATTTGGATGAGAATTTGCTTTTAGAATATCCCTTCTCAAATAAGGTTGGAGGTGGGAGTTATCTTCTAATTTAGTATACTAAAACTTGTTTGAAAACTGGCTCTTGAAGTAACTGTCACAAAGAACTATTAGAGGGAACCACAAAATCCTAAGTGAGATAGCTACATGACATTCAAATAAAAAACTATCCAGTATGTTTGTTTGAGGTGGGTCATCTACTGCTCTGTAAGAAAAAGAAAAATTGTATATTCAAGGAATCCCCTTCCCGATGCTATCAATAATTCTGAGCTTTCTCTTAGACAGGGAACTGTGCCTCCATCCACTTAGCTGCTACTGCCTCTGTCCCTGCCCACTGGTCCCAGCTGCCTCCCACACAGGTTTCTCTACACCAAGACAACATGAGCCAACATGTTGGCATTCACAAGCTTCTACCTAATCAGCATGCCTTAGCCACTCCCCTCATGCCAAGTACTGAAGTAACCCTCATTCGGAAGAAGGGATTTTACAAAGACTTGTACTCTAGAGGGAAGAAGAAACTTATAATGATGCATGGAAGGCTAATGGTCAGAATAATGCATGAAGAGAAGAGATAAAGGGCTTTAAAGGAGAAATCAGATGGTCTAGAAAAGCTGTGCAAGAGGCAGACTTTTAGAGAGGACTGGAGACTCCTGATGGTGAGTACACAAAAGGATGGCTACACCAATCTAAACACAGTGATTCCAAGAAAAAGAGCACAATGAAAAGTAAAACAGGAAGAAGCCAGCAGGACTGCTCTTACGGCAGAGTTCTGGGCAATAGAGCAGGAGATGAGCAGAGGACAGGGGCCTTGAGTCCAAGCTGGACTAAGTAACAAAGATATTGAAGCAACATTTCCCCAAACAGAAACGGTGTGACTTGTCAACTACAACTGAACTGGGGGAGAGGGTGTCTTCCTGTTCTTTATGTAAAACAATCAATAGTTTTTCTACCAGTCCTCCTTGGTGCTCAGTCCTTCAAGAGAATCATGAACATTAAGCCGAAGGAACTGACAGGAAGGAAGCCATTTAACTCCTTAAGCTTAAATGGCAGTCATGCCGAACATTCTCCTCTGAGAACTTACCTGAGAGGTCGGCCTGGAGTCTGGTGACCTGGCCCCTGAGAAGATCTGTCTCCTTCAAGCTCTCTGTCAGCTGCACCTGCAGCTCTGTCTCCTTCTTCTGGTGAGCTGTCATTTTCAACTGCAGGTGAGAGACCTGTGCAGTGGCTGCTGCTAACTCTTCTGTCACCTTGGCCTGAATAGTGACAAAGGGTGACATCAGTTAGACACAAACAATCCAAGTGCTAATTTAACCTCATGTTACTCTAAGCTGATGGCTATCAGTAGACAGGAAGGCAGAAAAGGACACCATCTACCTGCACTGAGCTAAAATCAAGCCTTGAAAATGTACAAGGGTTCAGGATTGAATTCTGTTGCAGAAACATGTTCTTAGGAACTACTACAGAAGCCAGGTGTGGTAGTACACACCTGTAATCCCATCGCTTGGGAGGATGAGGCAGGAGGGTAAGGAGTTCCAGACAAGCCTTGGTTATATAACAAGACTATTTCAAAAGTGAATGAACAGAGGAACTAGTACTATAGGAGATGATAAAAAGTTTGTTACAAGCCCGTTCGATGCAGCATTAAGTTGCAACAGAAGACAAAACTAATATAAAACACTGAAAATATTTAAGCAAGCAAAATAGGAAATACTAATACTGTGTGCCACCAAAATTATATTTGAAAAAGAATACTCAATAGCATGGAATACAGCTAAAACCTATTTCTAGATGAAGAATATAAGTAGATTATCAGTAGCACATTAAATATTATTTGGTTTTTATAAAATGACCCTCAAGTGAGGGAAAGAGCTTGCATTTTTCATCAATGGCTAAATCTAGATAGAAACTGAATATTTCCTACTTTCTTCTTGCTGACTGGTACCACAGTTTAATAAGGATCAGGATAAACAATTAGGCCGAACAGATGTTTATTCAGGGAGAAATAACTCACAACATAGACAGGTGAACACCAACAGGTTCTTGCTTCCAAGAATTCCTCTGGATGTCCTGTCCCCATGTGGCTGGGAAGAGAGTGCTCTCTCATGCCTCCTTCCACCTAGTTCCCCCCCCCTTCCACCCCTGGCTCCACCCCCCAATAGGTGTGGTCAGTGCCACAGAAGGAGACAAAGTGAATATCCCACTATAGACTGGATTATACTTTACATGAGTCTTTGAAAAAGATGTTTCATGAATTATTCTTTAAAAAGATAATGTTCCGTAGCTCAAAAGAATAAGTATTTTAAAAGTAAACAGTGTGAATCTTTCATGCTATACAGTTCTGCCTTGCCTTATATTGGTTATCACATAGAAATATATTTTTTTCAGGAGCTAGCAAGATGGCTCAGTGGGTAAGATTGCCAGAGTTTGATTTCCAGGACTCACAGAGTGGAAAGAGAGAATCGATACTGGAAAGTTGACCTCCATGTGTGTACTGCGGCAAATGCATACCCACACACATATAAGACAAAATAAACAAAAATGTAACTAAAGCCACATTCAACTTCCCAGTTATATAAAGGGACTATATACATACTGCGTCTTCACCCTTCCAGATAAAGCAGCAGATAAGCTATATATTCTTCAGTAGTATAATGGTTCTTCTCCCCTCCCTCTTTATTTTTTTTTTTTCAATCTACATCATATTCTACCATGTGGAGATGACATAGTTTATTCTGTATTGCAGCAGACATGGATTGTTTCTGACCTTTCTCATTATACCAAGGAGCATCTTAGATAGATTGTGTGCAATGATCCCCTTTATATGCAAGAGCCATTTAGAATATTTTTAAATTAGTCTTTTATTTAAGTTAAATACAATCTTATTTTAGATACCAATCCCTCCCACCCTCATCCTCCCATTTAGAATAGTCTTAGGTCCAGAACTGCTGTATCAAGGAAATCCATGTGCAGTTTCATATATCATTGGTTCCCCTCCATCAGCTATCCTACATATTTCATCACCCATTGCCAGAATCCAATCAAGCCGATGAGAAGTGGGACTTGTACCACTTTCTAACATCTCTGTGGTAGACCAAGACCAACTTTAAAGGTGAAATGACTGAAAACTATCAGGTGGTATCCTAAACACTAATGATGATGACAACAATGATTATAAGGATGGTCAAGAAAAGGCCAGCTACTGCATCCATTTCCTTGAACTGCCATGCTTCCCATAAAACCAAAGTCAGACATCAGGAAAGGCAGTGTGGGGTTGCTCTGTTGGTGACCGGGACTGTGCTTGGGGTTGGGCTGACTCCCTCATGCTATGATAATGCTACCATGATTCCCTCTCCACTGTTAATACTTTATGCACATTTTACAGTTGCCTACTTTTATTATGTGTAGCTTCTTATGGTACTCACTGTGCAGGCCTGTTTTTACAGTATTTATTCCTAGGGTTGGGGATATATCTCAGTAGTGGAACCCTTGCCAAGTATGTACTAGGCCCTAGTGTCACATATTCCTTGCCTTATCCCCAAGCATTTATCAACTTTCTAGCTTCCATTTAAAGGCTGGCATTTTGGCTCTCCTAACAGTGAGGGCAATGAGACAAACGTGTATATGAACTAAAAATAAATAGATCATGAATCTGAGAGTACATGTGACCTTTACAGTAGGTGATAAGTCGACAGTGGTGCATGCCTTCAATTCCAGCACTCAGGAGGCAGAGGCAGGAGGATCTCTGAGTTTGGGGCCAGCCTGGTCTACAGAGCAAGTTCCAGAACAGGCTCCAAAGCAATACAGAGAAAACAAAATATAGATAATTTTTATCTAGAACCTCCAGAGTGGGCTTCATCTTCCTTCCATGGAATAAAAAATAATGTTTCCTTGCTGTTCTGCTTCACACAGCCCATGAAAACTGAAGTAGATAGTTCAGCACCTCCATGGAACCTTGAGAGCCCCTCACAAGAACTGAAGACCCCTTCCTCCAAAAGGACAGAGTAGGGAACCCTCAAAAGTTCTTCCTGACACTTTCTTTTAAAGTGATATTTCACAATTTAGCCCAAACTGTCCTCAAATTAATGATCCTCTTACCCAAGTGCTAAGATTATAGGCATGTGCTACCATGACCAGCTTCAAAGTTGTTTTTGTATCAGATCCTTACCTAGAAAGGCCTACTACAGAAGCATAAAAATAGTCTCACTCAAACACATGTACATACTTAAAGACAACACAAATATATTAACCATGTTATCTTTGAGTGGAAGGGTTACTGGTGACTTATGTGTTACGGGTTTCTTTGTTAATTTATTGGAATAAATAAATCAAACTTTTATAAGTTGGAAAAAACTATACATGACTGTGTGTGCATGTAGATATTTACAGATAAGAGAAGACAGTGCTAGAAATGAACCCGTGAGCAAGTCTTATCTGCCTTCTAGGGCTTGATTTGTTCTTTTAAAAATAAGTTCATTGAGCTCAACTCCTCTAACAGCTCTTCCATTTTGAATTGTTACTTCTTAAGAAAACAGATTCTTATGAACCAGTTCTGTCACAGAGAAAAGGTTCAACTTACCAAATATTCATTGAATACCTAACCATATTTTTTTCTGAGAAATGCTTGGAGGCAGAAATCTGCCTCCTAAAAGAACTGATGGTCTCCCTTTACAAGAGATCACAGGGAGACTGCTAAAGTAGATGAAAGATGGTCTACATAGCTAGCTTCAGACCAGCCAGCACTACATGGTGATACCCTGTCTCAAATAGCAAATTTAAAAAAGAAGTAGCTCATCCAGGGATAGTGATACACAACTGTAATTCTAACACCTGGAAGGCTGAGCAGGAGGTTGAAGAGTCTGCAGCACCTTGGGTTATATATCAAAACCCTGTTTGAGCAAACCTGAGCTACATAGCAAGAACCTATATGAACAAACAAAGAAGAAAAGCCACCTACCAGGAGACAGTTAAAGCTTAAAATGTCTCACTGAAATAATGGTGATCAGTGGAATCATGTCCAGGCCCTGGCCATCAGCTAGGAGGTGGCCTAGAGCAAATCTAGGCTCTAGAGTATACCAGGCAGGCTGCTATTGTTGTTCTACTTCTGCTGTTTGGCTATTACACATAGGACACCTGGAAGGCTCAGTGCCCAGCACCTGCAAGTTTTAGAATGCAAAAACACAAGAGGATTAGCAAGCTAAGTAAGAGTTTGATAGACTATGACTGGTTCATGGGCCAAATTGGACCACTACATGTTGAACCTATGTAAAAGCAAAAGTATCCAAATGTCACATTCAGAGACTATGACAAAAGAAATGACTTTTATACCTGGGTAGGCACTGGAATAGAGAAGAGCTCTAGAAAAGTTAACTTGGCTGCCTATACTAAATTAGAAACCCAGGAGGTGAGACTTGAAAATAAGTAGTTTTGATCAAGTTTCCCAAGTAATTCTGAGGTAGCTAAACCACTGTTTGGGCACCACTGGTCTATAGAATAAGTTGTAGTCATCATTTACCCCTGAATATTAGCAGTGAGGATAAACAGTATATTTGGATGCCCCAGTAGGCCTGGGGTTGGAGAGATAAAGGATAAAACTGTGCAGACTAAGGCATAGGTCATCTGAGGTTAAACAGCTGTCTTAGTTACTGTTGACCAAATCAACATAGAGAGAGAAGCATTTAATTGAGAGCTTGCTTACAGTTTAGAGGGCTGAAACATGATCATCACGGTAGGAAGCATGAAAGCAGGCAGGCATGGCATGATACTGGAGCAATTGCTAGGAGCTCACATCTGATCCACAAGATACAGACAGAGAGAGAGAGATGGGCCTGCTGTGGGCTATTGAAACCTTCAAAGCCACCCCCAGGCGCACAACTCCTCCAACAAGACCACACCCCCTATCCTTCCTAAACAGTCCACCAACTGGGAAATGAATATTAAAATATATGAGCCTCTGGGAGCCATTCAAACTACCACACTGGCCAAAGGCATTAATTACTTACTGGATAGTATGGCTAAGCAAGCACAAAAGTTAGCTTAAAACATAAGAAGGAACCCTTATTATCAGAGTACAAGAAATCAAGTCAAAATCACAAGTTATAATGCTCTTTCTGTTCAATTTTGCATGTTTCTAAGGAAGAGTAAATTATAAAATATGAACTGCTTAGAATTTAATGAAAAAAATACTAGATAAAGACCAAAGGTTTCCCAGCTGAAGAGTGATGACCTAAAAAAGAAGGACTCTCTTCTGGATAGCGTTCCATAGGCAAGAGGAAAACTGGGCTCCAGATCAGTTGACCCCAACCTGAGACTCATTAGCATCTTTTTCACTCCTACTCAGAGCAGATCAAAATTCCTACATCTGAAGGACTAAACTCATAGTAATTCATGCCCCCCTCTTTCCTTATTTGTTTGTTTATTTACTTATCTATGTATCTATCTGTCTATTTGCTGTGGCAGGGTCTCATGTAGCTCAAACTTTGGCTTCAAAATTTCCACCTAGCAGAGAATGACCTTGAACTCCTGATACTCCTGCTTCTACCCCAACATTCTGGGACTATACACACATGTCACAGTGTCCAATTCTATTATTTTCCTTTTGTTTTGTTTCTTGAGACAAAATCTCACTATGTAGCCCTGATTGGCCTGGAATTTTCTATGTAGACCAGGCTGGCCTGAAATTCACAGAGGTGAGTTTGCCTCTGCCTCCCAAGTAACAGGATTAAAGGTGTGTGCCATCTCACCTGGCATTTTATTCTTTAAGACAAGGTCTCACTATGTAGCCCAGACTGGCCTGCTACTCGCTATGTACCTCAGGTGGACTTGAATACAGTAATCCTTTTGCCTTGACCCTCCCAAGTCCTGGGATTACACACATATGCCACCTATCTGGCTCCAAAATAGTAGTTTAAAATGATTTTGTCAGACTCAAATGAATAACCAAACACAGAAGGAAGATCAAATTAAACAATCCTAAATTCCACTAACAACAACATATAAATTTAATTCATGGCATAATAGAAATTTTCTTTTGATTCTATCAAAAGAATAAATTTAGCTTCCTGTAAACTGTGATATTCTTACCATTGTCAAATTATTAAGATGAGTGATTGGATTTTTTTTTTCTTTCTTTTTTGAGAGAGGATGTCATTATTCAGTTCAGCTTGTCCTTGAACTATAGATTCTCCTGCCTCTGCCTGTCAGAAGCTGGGGTTACAGGCATAAAACAGCACCCTTAGTTCAAAATTGTTTTGAGTCAACTTGCTGCAAAACAGATCTAGAAATGATTAATACATGAAAATCTGTTGGAAGACTTCTAGGTCTCTCTCTAGAGATGACAAATATCCTGAATAGAAACTTGGAAGTTCATTTGTAGGACTATTTCTCAGATCTACATATCCTGATCTGACCTTCCTGTCCGGCTACTTTACCTTCTCTTGTTCAGCATGCAATACTCTTGCCTGTGTGTTTTCTGTGGCTGTTTGAAGTGAGTTGTTCCTCTTCTCCATCATCATATTACTCTGCTCAACATACCTGACACAGAAATAAAGACAAAGAAAATTCTTACTAAGTACTGAATATTTGAAAGGCATGAGTGAACCCACTCAGTTCTTGCAACATTGCTCTACACCTTCATCAGAAACAATCTGAGGGGAGCCAGAGATAGGGAACATAGGTTAGGAGCCTTTGATGTTCTTGTAGAACTCCTGGGTTCAGTCCCCAGCACCCACATCATGGCTTACAACCATCTGTAACTCCAGTTCCAAAGGATCCAGTTCTGTCTTCTCTCTCAGGGCACTGCACACACACACACACACACACACACACACACACACACACACACACACACACAATGCACAGATATGCAAGCAAAACATCCATATGCATATTTTTTTAATCTTAAAAAAATATGAAAGCACTTTGCTCTCCTGCTGTAATTAAACAAGCTAACTGCAGTAACCAAGGAGGTGGCAACCTGGGTCACAGATAAACCACAGATAAAGGGAGCCATTCACAGGGTATGAGCTAATGGAAGATGGGGAGGAAAGAAAAGGGGGTAAGAGGACTGGAAGCCTTCTTCCAAGCCTGCCCTGTGAGAGCCAAAAAAACACTAGACAAAAAAAAAAAAAAAGAGAAGAAGAAGGAGGAGGAGGAGGAGAAGAAGAAGAAAGAAGAAGGAGAAAGAAGAAGGAGAAGAAGAAGGAGAAGAAGGAAGGAGAAGAAGAAGGAGGAGAAGAAGGAGAAGAAGAAGGAGAAGAAGGAGAAGGAGGAGAAGAAGAAAATTACAGGAAAAAATGACCTTTCAAGTGAAACGTTGCATTGAGACTAGTTCTGTTTACCTTTCCACCCCTCACAAAGTTCAGAAGCTACAAAGCTACAAAATGATTGTGCTTTACGAAATCAATAAGGCTCTGGTTGAATTCTAGTTGATAAAATAGCCCACACAGAAAAGAGAAGAGTGGACACTATCGGACATGATTTTCTATGTAACAGCATTTTCAGAAATGAGGAAGCTAGGCTTGAAGACAAAAACAAAATACCCAAAACCACACAATAAATGAAGGGCAGAGCTGAGTGTCAAACACATGTAGGTCTTATACCAACCACACCCACCTCAGAGTTTTCCCCTGAAGTAGTAAACAGGTAATTCACACAATAGACAGAAACAGAAATGGCTGAAATACATGGGTTGCAGCTCAGAGGAATTGGGTACTTAGTATGTTCAAGGTCCTCGGGTTCAAAAATCAAAACAAAACAAATGTAGAGAAGAGGACTGTGATTAATGCTGCCCTCAACAAATGTGTGCTATAGTGGACAAATTACATTAAACCCTTTGCCCACCCTACCCTGGCCTTGTCCCTGTCATTACCTCTGATTTCGCTCAATGAGTTCACTAATCTTGTCATTCTGCTCTTCTATCCGACTGCTTTTCTCAAGGAGCTCCTGCTTCAGTCTCTCATTTTCCTGAATCCAGACACACAGTAAGCAACATAAGTGTCTTAAAAGTTCCTAGTGTATTGAAAGGCCCACTTCCTATCCTTTGTGAACACGGTTTGAAAAAACACTAAAACTTATTTCCCCACAGTTGGAACTGATAAATAAAGTAACAAATTGAATTAGACCTGACGGATTCTAATCACTAGGCTAGATAGGCTGAAGATTGAAATAGTCAGAAAATGACGTGAGAGTTTAAGGCTGGGCCAAAAAGCAAGTTTCTTTTTGAGTATAAATCATATGGATATGTAGCACATGCGGTACAGAATACTAAAAGCTTGGTATAACAGAATATAGTAAATAGTATATAGATGGCTGTGTTCGGATGTGAAGTACCACCTACCCACATGCTCCTGTGTTTGGATACTTAATCTCTAGCTTGGGGTGAACTGGAGGGGGGTTCCAGTTAAAGGGAGTGGGTCATGGAGGGTGGTCCTTATGGGTTGCTAGCTCGACCCCACTTCTCCTTGGCGCTCTGCTCAATGGGACCAGTTGCCTCACCCTCTGCTACCACTCCTACCTGCCATGAGGGGCTTCTATGCTCTCAAACTAGGAGGCAAAATAAACCCTGCTTCCTTAAGCTGTTTGTGGTCTTGTGGTCAGGTATTTAGTCACAGCAATGAGAAAAATAATTAATACAACAATGCAAGTCATAGGACTAAATTAAGCTATAATGGCTTTTTCAACTGCAGTATTCAGCACAAGCTATTTCTGGGGGTGGGGGACAGATTTTCAAAGAGCAGCACATCTGATCTGAAGAGGGAGCACGGGCAAGCCCTCCAGCCTGTGCTGTGGGCTCTACTGCCCTCACCTGAATGATTCGCTGGATATTGCTCATAATCATGCTTGTTTCCATTGTGACTGACATGTTAGGAAGAAGCATAGAATTGCCAGAACTATGCTTCTGTAACTCTTCAACCTGCAAAAGAGAAGCCAGGAAGACCTGTGAACATGTTGAAATGTAATTAATTCACCCAGGACCAATCACTCTTTTGAGAGAGTTAATAAATTCCTGAGACAATATCTAAATGTAAGCCTGCTTTCTCCTGCTAACTTGACCTCAAAGTAAAGATAACCACACTTCTAGGTAAATGACTAAAACTGTGAATATGGGAAACCAAGGAAGAGTTTTGTTACAGCTGTGGCTTCTTCTATTTACAACCTATTTATTGTCTACTTGTGTCCCCTATCCCCCCTTTTTACACTTTTATTTGTTATCTCCTTTTAAAATTAAACTATATATCTACATATATATTAAATTTATTTATTTTATGTGTCTTGAGTGTTTTGCCAACAAGGATGTATGTGCACCACGTGTGTGCCTGGCACATCAGAGATGAGAAGAGGGCATCAGATCTCCTAGAAGTGTGGGTGCTGGGAACTGAACCTTGGTCTGCAAAAGTACTCTTAATCATTGAACTGTCTCTCTAGTCCTCTGTTTATTATTTCTTTATTATAATTTCATACATTTAAACAATGTGTCTTTATCATACCCACTCTCTTTTATTAAAATTAGTATTATTTATTCAAAATATTCTATACATTATCATGTGTACATATGATATATGTGAGTATGAACATGTACACCTGTGTCCCTGCACATGTGCCAAAGTCAGAGCATAATTTGCAGGAGTCAGTTCTCTCTTTCCATGACGAATCTCAGGAATAAAACTTAGGTTGTTAGATGTGCTCAGCAAATGCTTTTACCTGCTGAGCCATCCCTGGCTCAACAGCTGCATTTTCAACAGAGCCTCAGCTCTGACTCAGTCACCTTAGTCATGAGATGATCCATTTTATCAGCCACTTTGCTGACTGCCATTCGAATTTCAGTGTTGTGTTGCCGGGCTTCAGTCATGAGAAAGGACATCACGTCACCTGATCCTAAGCAGACATGAAAAAGAACTTTTTGGAAAGAGGAAACTACGGATAGGAAAGTCAAGGGTGGTTTTAGCAGAGAAAAGAAAGAACCCCTTCCATGTAGTATGAAATAGAGTAAATGATTTCACGCTGTCAGGAGAAGCCACAGAAGAGGGAATAGAGACAAAAGGGTTCCTAAGCTACTAATAACTAGGTTATGTTTCTGCAAAATCATGCCCAAGTGTGTACTTTGAACGACTGTTGTCCTGGAGTTTACATTGCCTCTCTTTTCACCCAACAGCATGCCAGGATTGCACAGGCACCAGGAATACAGCCATAAATAAAACATCATTCCTGATCTTAGTGGGCTTCAACTGGGAAACTGACCTATAAATAAATTATTACAACAGAGTACTTTATATGCAAGATGGTACAGCAGCACATGACTGTAACTCAAAAGGCACAGAAAAGATTCAGAGTTCAAGATCAGTCTGGGCTTCATGAGATACTATCTCAAAAACAATTTTTTAAGGGGGTAATTTCAGGTGCAAAAAACAGGCTATGTATAAAGTATATATATGAAAGCAGCGCCTTAAAAATAGTATTAAGCTTTTGGTGGCACTCATATGTAGTTGTGTCTATGGGAGCAGTGGATGGAGAGGTGGTGAGACAGAGGAAATGTCAGGTTGGAGGGATGCAAAAGTTTCATAGATGGAGAAGGGACAGGGCACCAGACAAAGGCTGCATTTAGGAAGCCCTTCCCACTTCAGAACTGCAAGTTAGGCTGTTGGATATAATTGTTTCCTCTTGCCAAAGCGATTACCAAGCAAAAGACAGGTTCTACACCATGGCAGAAAGCCAACACATCAGTCAGCATTTCATCTGCTTTGTTTACAAGACACACCTATGCTTGCACAACTGCATAAAATACACACAAAGTTGCCCAAGCAGCTATGAGAGATGCTGTCCTATGGGCAGAAGTTTAATGACAGAGAGGACAGCTACCTTTACTTTATCCCATTTCGTACTGCTTGCCATTTTTATTAAAGTTACTCTCGTAATTTACAATTTTTAACAAAACAGTTCTCACCGGAGGCACTCAGCACCCACAGCAGCCCTCGTTTTCCTCTCAGTCCCCTCTGGCGTTTGCTCTTTCACGACCTGGTATACACACTAGTCACTCTGACACAATCAAAAGGGCTGCCGGGAGAGCACGGAGGGAAAAGACCCAGAATGTGGGTACAAAGGGACTTTGGGAAAGATGCAAATGTTCTAAAAATGGATTGTTGTGATAAATGCACAACTCTGAACTTTTCCTAAAATAAATAAAAAATCCTGGGGTATGGGGAGATGATCAGTTGGTAAAAGTGTTTGCTCCACAAGTTCAAGGCCCTGAATTTTAATCCCCAGCATCCACCAAAAGTAGTAACAATAAATAAATAAATAAATTGAGCATAATTGTGCATACCTGTAACCCCAGCTCTGACGGCTAGCCAGTCTGCCCAAAATGGCAGCTTTCCAGTTCACTGAGAGACCTAGTCTTATAATAATAAGCTTCAGACCAATAGAGGAAGTCATTCAATGTCCTGCTCTGGCCTACACATACATGTACACAGGTGCACATACATGCACACTCATTTGCATGCACATACATGTACATACACAACATGTACTATACATAATATATTTAAACATACATTTAAATGAATCATACGGTATATAAATTACATCTCAACCAAGCTGCTAAAACAATGAAAAGAAAGAAAGGGTAGAGAGCTGTTGGAGGAAAAATGAAACAGAATGGGAGGGAGGAGAGACTGGGAGGAGGAAGTTATTCCCTACCTTGAAAGTGGGGAGCCTGGGACAGTGGTGCTGGGTATAAGGGCCGAACAGGCTGTAGCTGGGAGGTAACTGAGCATGCCTGGGGATATGTGTAGGCCTGCACACCTGCACAGGGCTGAGAAAGTGACAAGTTACTTATTTACTTTCCTATGATAGAACAAAGCAGATAAACAGAGAGGAGGCTTGAAGTTATTAAAGCTGGAAATGATAAGACCAGGGTGAGGCAGTTGTCTATGGGACTTGATGGTACCTGGTCACTCCAGTAACCCAGAACCTGAGGAACAGTTATCTCGGGTCACTACCCAGTCCTCTGGCAATATGATTTTATGAAGTGTGAATTTATTCCCTACTATCAGGCCTATTTTTAAGGAACTTGAAACTAAGTTGGCTTGCAAAATTTCAGACTAAGTCAGCCAATTTCCTGGATGCCTCAGGATGCCTCTCCATTGCTAGAGTCTCTTTAAAATCTGTATACCATCCCAGTGTCTCTGCACAAATGTGGGGGGAGGGGCAGGGGAGGGGGAGGTCCTTAACAGCTGAGCCTGAGACTGTTTTATCTGTGTGTTTTCAGGCTAGGTTTCATGTAGCTCAAAATCACTATGCAGCTGAGGATACCCTTGCATTCTCGATGTCCCCGCCTCCAGCTCCTTAGTGCTGGGATTACAGATGTCTGCCACCATGTCCAGTCCCCTTGATAGATCGGATGCTTATCTGGGTAACCAGAAGCTCCCATTTTCATTGAGATCTCAACTGTAAAAGGAAGATGTTACTGTTTTATGGGGATTTGCTACATGGGCTAAATGGGCAAAGCCTGTAACAACTGGCAAATTAAGTGCCTAGCAAAAGGCAAATGCTCAATGAACATCAGCTATCATTTTCCCACAGGAAAACTAGCTTATTTCCAAGGACAATATAACAATAAAACAATTAAAACAAAAATCCATAGTCTGTGGTAGAGGGATTTCCCATTGTGGCAGACTTTCTTCAGTTTTGATTCTCTGTTCAGAATCACCATAGAGGGTGGGGGCTGGGAAGATAGCTCTTGCTATATCATGTGCACCGACAGGACCTTGGCTATGTGCCAGGCCTTTAATAGGTACTTTGCTTATTTTTGCACTTAATTTTCACAGAAACGTGTAAACAGAAAACCTTGTGTGGTTTTAGCAATAAGAAAGTAATAATTTAGGGAAAGGGAATTGAGTTGGGGAACTGCTACTGTGTAAAAAGGAGAGAAAGATCTTCTGTGTTCAGACAAGAAAGACCAACAGAAATTATATCTCAAGACTAAAACAGTTTTAACATTGTTACCTGAGGGCTGGATGTGGTGGTGCATACCATATGTCTCAGCTCTCAGGAGGCAGGAGGCAAGCAGATCTCTCAGTTTGAGACCCACCAAGACTACACAATGAGACCCTGTCCCAAATAGCAAATAAAGAAATTAATTAATTTTTTAAAAAGTAGTTACCTGGAAGGTCTGAGTACTTCCAGATACAGCTGAGTGGGAGTCAAGAGGTGCAACTTGCATCAAGGCAGCAGAGGGTGACTGGAACCCAGGAACAGACGGTTGAGGTGCTAAAATAAATCAAGATATATTTATGCAGCCTTGTTTCTTGTGTTAACACAAAAGCACACTCTCACCTTAATGGGCAAAAGAGATAATTTATTTTGGAACTAAATATGCATAACCATGGCCCAGGAAGATGGGTATGTGTTACTCCAAATTCCATGTTCCTATGTAGTTAACAGTTTCATGAAGTTTTCACAAATCTGAACACTTTTTAAATAGTGGTGGAAACATCAGAGAGGTTTGTTCAGGAATGGCATGAGATCTCAGTTTCAGGTCTCAGATGCTATCTGACACATTCTTAGCTTTTGGTTGATGGAGGTTACATTCCAAAGGATTTACCTAATAGTGACAGAGATGTTAGGTCATATACACAGAAGGGCAATAAATGGCTATTAAGTATGGGCTGGAGGCAGCATAGGAGAGCTCTCCCCATTTCACATCTGGCAGATCCACCCTACAGTTGCCCAGGCCCAGACCCAAGGTTATGACTTGGTTCATCCCATAATCTACCCCATCTGTGATCATGTAAAGGGGCCTAACCTGCAGACCCAAAGCTTCAGGATCTCCACAAAACAGGGCAACAACAGTATATCTAGGAGTCCTAGTGAGGGCCCAGCATCAATAGGGTAGTAGAAAACCAGAGGCCTCGAACCAGACAATGACTCTTTGTAATGAACTTGCAAGTAAAGATATGTGGACAAAGGAGTTCATGGTGTGATTCATGGTGTCACACTGTAGCTTCCATGAGAGATTTTTAACTTTTTCCCTTTTAATATTTTTTTTTGTTTTCTTTTAAAGTTTGTTTTATTTAGGGACTGTGTAAGGGCAGAGGGTGGATGCAAAGGGACGGGGAAATGAATGAGATTCAAGATACATAATGTAAAAGACATATAGAATAAATAAATAAATTACAGCTTGTTTCTGGACCTGCTGAATCCCTGCCTCTCCACAACCACTGGCCTCTAGTAAATTAGTCAGCTTGGCAGAAGATTAGGTGTCAGGTGGGGCGCTTTCCAGGAACTTTCCTCCACACTCATAAGTCTGCACTAGCACCTGACATTCCCATGCTTTAAACTGGACCACTTTCACAACTTAATCTCCCAAAGCAGCTCCACTGGCATCCCTGAAACTGACTGAAACAGTGTTTCTTCTGTATCTGACTCAGATTCCATCTGCTGACACAGAGGAGATGCCTCAACAGCTGAGCACAGATTTCCAAAGAGGACAATGCAACACAGCAGAAATCACAACAAACAGACTGACTCCATCCCAGTCAGAAAGTGTCTTACTAGGACAAACTGACAAGTGTTAGTCCCTAATCCAGGCCCTAGCACTAACAATGCAAGCTAATAATCTAAGGAACACTGAAGAAAACTTGGATCCAATTCAAAGTCTAAGCCTTAGAGAGGTTTCTTTCTTACCCTGTGAGGCCATCTGTGGTAACACTGGATGGGCTGGCTGAAGGGAAGGCTGGATGGATGGTGTCACCAGGGATGGCCCAGCTCCTCGTAGAGCAGTAGCATCCTGAAAGAGGCACAAGGGTTGGTCTCTATGTGTGGGCCTTTGGATGAAGACTGAGGCTGCCTGTCTCTAACTCTGCTCACAATACAGGATTTCCAAGCAAGAAAGAGGAAGGAAAGGCAGGCAGAAAGCCAATAGTAAAGGATATGAGTTGTACAAAGCATTCAATTATGCAAGAGAGGAAGAAGAGCCTTTCTTCCTATAAATCGTATCAAATAATTAAATACCGTTCATTTCTGCAGATGTTCTAAGCTGTCAGTGTTTCATTATTTCAAGCCTATGAACCGACAGATCTATAGAATGCACCATCAGCTACCTGACTGGTCTAACCTGTTCCCACAAGAAGGGCCTCCTACAAGGAAAGCCAGCAACAACCCAGCCTCATTCTTCTGCAAGATCATTTCCCAAAGCTCAGAACAGACAGAAAACTGGACAGAATGGGATTCTCTGTACCTCACTGACATGCTGGCTTTGATGCTGGCAGTCTAGAATGTTTGCCCAAATTCTTTTGTTGTTGTTTTGGGTTTTGTTTTGTTTTGCAGCCATGGCTGTCCAGGGACTTGATATGTGGACCAAATTGGTCTCAAACTCAGAGATATTCCTGTCTCTGCCTTCCAACTGCTGAGATTAAGGGTGTGTATCACCACATCCAGCTGTTTGCTCTCATTCTTTCTTTATTTTTTAAAAAATCATAAAAGCAAAGCTGTAACTCTAAGTAAAGCTGCCCATCTTCCCATTTCATGCAAGGACAGGAAGTCATGACACACAATTCATGTGACTATAATTCATGTGCTATGCATGATTCAAGACTATCACTTCTTGGTCATCCTTATACTTTAGAGCTCTCCTAGCCCCCAATATTCTCTTCTGGGAAAATCAGCCCACTCTTAGATTATTACCAATTTCTAAGTCAACTCAAATGTCTACCAGCATAGTAAAGAGAATTATGATAAATAGAAGGCCACTGAATTGCCAATACTTTATGTATATTACTGACATTAACACAGGCATTTATGACATAACATTAAGTTTAAAAGTTAGTTTATAAAGCAATATATAAAGAAAATACCCTTACTATTACACATATTCTTTCTTTATAATTTTTAATGATTATTCAATAAAGTAACTTAGTTTTAATATGTTTACATTTTAATTAATTATATATAAAAAGTAACTTTAAATGAATTATATTATTCAAATTTCATTTCTAGAAACCAGGAAAACAACAAGTTCCATTTAAAATGTTAGAACTTCCCAGAAAACAAAACAATACTATAAAAAAATCTACTTCAGAGCACATTATATATCTTTTCATTTTACACCAAATGAAAAACAGTTTCAAAAATCAATCTATCATTTATTTCAGTTCATTTGAGAAAGGGTTATTTTATCAGAAACAAACTAACCATTGAAAAAAGGCTTAAGTTACTTTATATCTTGTAGATTCCAAATTTAGATATTAGAAAATATAATTATATTTCTGATATGCCATATTTCTAAAATCTAAAGATGGGGGTGCTTTCTCTTGTATGTATGTGTTTATATATGTTCATGCGTGCATATAGGAGGGCATATGCACATCTGTGCACTTGTGTGGATATGGAGGTCAGAGGTCAACCCTGGATATTTTGCATGATCATAATTCTGAGTCAGGGTCTCTCACCAAACCTAGAGCTCGCTGACTGACTCGACTGACTGACTCTCAGGCCCAGGGCTCCCTCTGTTAGCACCTCTCCTCAGAGCTGGGATTACAGGCATGAGCCATTGCACCTGGCTTTTAAGAGGGTGCTAGAGAACTACTTAGGTCTGCATAGCACGAACTTTACCCACTGAACTATCTCCCCAGCCCTGGGGATGCTTTCTAAGCACACTGTCAAGAGCAAAAAACAAGGGGGATTAGTAGATATGATTCCAACAAAATTCTTGAACTTCTAAATAACATTTTTAAAACACAGGAAAAAGCATCATATATAAAATCATAAATGTAACATTTTGGCATTTAAACAATAGGTATCATTGGTGAGAAGATCAGTATTCCCCAAACTAAGCCAAACATTCAATCAACAAACATGGATGGAAGCCAGAAGCAGTGGCATGTGCCTATGGTCCTATACACTGGAGGCAGAGGTAGTAAGTCACTTGAACCCAGGAAGTTAAGAGTCTAGGCAACATGGTGAAGCTCAGTCTCAAAAGGAAAGAAAGGGAAGTAGAATTGAACACCTGTAGACATGCAGACATGCATGCAGGCAAAGCACCCATATGCATAAAAAAAAATTTAAGAGTAAAAGAAACTTTTAAGACATAGAATAGAGAGACTGCTGTCGGCTGTGCATCTTGTCCAAAGATTGATCCTTTTTTCTCAACATGAAGCTGATTTAATAATTCCAGACAAGCAGCTGAAGATTCTAAGCAATACAGATTCCAGATCCTGGCACACGAACACTAACCAAACCTCTCTAAATGGTCTAGTTCTTGTGTCTGATGTGCAGGATTTACCTCCATTTGCGGAAGGCCTAATCACGGTAGAAAGACATGTACCCACACTGCTGTCACAGTGACTCTGGACTAGAAGCAGGGAAGGAACTTATTTCAGCCAAAGAAACAGAAGATGGCAGCACTTGTACTATGCATTTTAGTACAGTTACAGGAACATACTTCCATTTCTGAGTCATTGGAATCCAGCTGTGGTGGGAGGATGGGCAGCATGGGCTGACCCATTTTAGCCATCCGAGAGATCAGCTTGGCCTTGACAGTATCAGGACTCTAAAAAGAAAGCACAAACACCACTGTGACTGAGGTTTCAAACAGGTCTACTTCTTTGCCTTGTGTCGAGACCTTTAGCTCTACTACTCCCTATTTGAAGCCATTCTTACAGAAAGCAAGAATTATTTATGATATCAAATACAATGCAAATGTGATATAAATAAAGAATTGAAATGATGACAAGAAAGATGTCTGTCTGGGAACATCAGCTTGAACGCAATCCCTATAGTTCCCCAAAAGAAAGTAAGAATTAAAGATGTCATGCATAGAAGCATATGGTTAATAACAACAGTAAAAATAAGCCCCTATTGATCTTGAATGGACTGCTTTCATATGCATCATCTCTTTAAAACCACGTGTCCCCACTGTAAAATAAGAGTGCTAATGCACTCTTGGTTTAGACAGTTTTTTCTCCATCAGACTAATTACTTGTGGAGTATGTCCTGTTATGGCTGAATGTGCACAGGGCTGGAGGAAGGACCTCGCTTTATCCATCATCTACTGTCCCCAGTGGCAGGGAAAAGCCTAGCTTCAACTTGAAGCTCTTTGTCTACCATCTGGTCCCCTGCAGGATGCTAAGAGTCTGCATGGACCAAGCAGGGCAGCAGAAAACTACCTTTTCATCCCCCCTAAAGGCATTCAAATCCAAATTTTACTGAAATAGCAGTTGGTCCTCTCCTCTGACCATTGGGGAAACAGCACATCAGTGACCAGCTCAAAGTCAATCAGTGGATGAAGAAGCCTCAATTCCTCTGAGAGAATTAAAGCACAAGATGTCTACTCTTTCAGGTAAACGAGTGCTGTCCAATCACACACACACACACACACACACACACACACACACTTTTTTTGTGGTGGTGGCAGTTGCAGAATTTTGTTCTTTTTGAGATAAAATACACATAACATAAAATTATATTAGTGCCAGTTATAATGTGAACAATGCTTATTAAGCACTTATATCAGATATAATGCTGAAAAGTCAGTAATTGTTTACTTCCTTATGTCAAGTTACATATGAAGAAATAAACCTGTTTAGAGATGAGTTCTTCAAGGTCACACAGAATAAGCAACAGAGAAAGTCAAGGGTTAACCACTAATCCATCCCTGCTGGAATAAATGGCATCTCTAAGATGGGAATGCACTTTACTGCAGGGTTCCCTCCCAACCTCACACCACTCTCCTAGTAATACTACAGCTTCTGCTCATTAAAAATAACAACACAGGTTCTGCACTCAAGGCCTTAGGAGCATCTTTAATCCTCACAAGAACTGTAAATGGGGGCTGAAAATTATTCCCACTGCATCAATGAGAAACTGAGGATCTGAAAAGTTAGGTCATTTTCTCAGGGCCATATGCCTTTAATTCAGAACTACTGATGTAAAAGCACAAGGCAATTTCTACTGACTGATTTCCAAATAGGATAAAATGAATATACTAATAATTTCCATCCTATGTCAGTGGCTCTCAACCAAGGGCTTAGGGGTACAGAATCATACTTACTGTACTTACAGTAAGCTGTTCACTGAGAGAGTTAGATTTGGAACGAAGAGGCAGCTCCCTGAAATCAAATAAAACATCCTGAGATAATACAAAACCTATAGTCACCAACCCAAACTAAGCTGGCTTTAAAACGTTGTCTCTGAAATGCTCAACTGAGTAACTAAAACAGAATTTTAACTCTTCCTTGTCATTTGTATAGTCTTTGAGGGCCACCAAAGCTGAACAATCCTTTATTCAAATTCATGCCACTTTCTCATGGGCCCTCATTCTGTATTCATGCTCTTTGCTCAGCTTCCTTCTAGAGTTTTGCAGATAATCTTACTAGCACTTTTACAGACTATTAATCCATTTTCAGAAGAATCTACTGCAGCATTTTCCCTGTTCCTGTTTACTTTTTTCCCAATTACTTAAAATTGACTGCAGTTTTAATCTTTATCTCAGGAACCATGTTGAAGAATACTAGAGCTTGCCATGGCCCTAATGTCTTACCCAGATTTGAGAGGCAGTGATGTAGGTGGTGTCACCACAGGATCACCTGAAAGGCTGTCAGCAGCAGGTACAGGAGAGGGGGCTGCAGAGTCCCGGGAGCTTACACTATGGCCATCAGAGCCAGAATCTCTAGCAAATTTCACCTGGGGTGGAAAAGAATGTACATGCTTACCCTTCAATACTCTCTTTTATTTATTCTTTAGCATACAAGTTATTGCCTATTCAGTAGAGGTAAATCAAAAGAATGCAGAAGACAAAGGAAATGGTTAGTTACAATTCAGCTACCATTACATCATCTGTGTGTATGAATGAATACATGTGTGCTTTTACAAATGGGGCTACAGTTTCATAGTTGTTCTGTTTACTTGCTTATACATTAATGTATTTCCATGTCACTAAATATTTATCTTCATTGTTTTCAGCTACTGAAGAGTATGCCTAACTTCTAGGTCATGTTCCTTCCTGATAAAATCTACACAGTCAAGTCTCCAAAGGATTTTTGAACAGTAGTCATATATATGCTATTACAAAAATCTATTTCATACTAATTAGATGATTGTTTCTACCCCAATAATGCTTTAATGTCTAGGTCTATGTCTAGATCTTTGCATATAATCTTACATGGTTCCTGAGTACAAATTCCTATTAGTTAAATTATTGGATAAAAGATGTACTCCTAGGCCAGGAATAATACTAAGTGGGAAAAAGCACTACCCACCAAGCATGACAACCTGAATTTGATTCTCAGAACCCACAGGTTGTCCTCTGATCTTCACACATGCATTGTAGCAAATGCACACACACACACACACACACACACACACACACACACACACAGTAAATGTTTTTATAAGTGTGTTCATATTTTAAACTTTTATGTAAATCATTAAATTCCATTTATAAAATATAAACTAGTCCATAAGCCATAGCACTGTATAAACCTTTCTCTATATCCTTGACATGCCAGATAAGGGTTATCATTACCAGCTTTGTTGATTTAATATGCATATCCAGCTCTAATTGCTTTTTTAAAGATTAAGTTCTTACTTTTAAATTATGCATAGATGAGTGCGCCTACATGACTTTATGTGCAGTACTTGCATTCAGTTACCTGCTGAGGCCAGCAGAGGGCACTGGGTCCTCTGGAATTAGAGTTAGGCTGTTTAGAGCTGCTTAATGTGAGTGCTGAGAACTAAACCCTGGTCCTCTGCAAGAGCAGTAAGTGCTCTTAACTACTGAGCCATCTTTCCAGCCCTCCTTTTTCTTTTTTCAAACTCAAGATCCTCTTGGCTTTTGTTTAATCAGCATATAAAATATTAGATATGACAAGACATTTTCAAACAAAGTATATTTTAGTAGATACTCTTGTTATCATCTCCCTCATCTCTATCCCATTCCCCTTCATTTTCCAGTCGTTTCCTCTCTCACATATGCTTTTTCTAATTTCTCTTTCATCCTCCTCCTCTCTCTCTCTCTCTCTCTCTCTCTCACACACACACAGAGTCTCACTATGTAGCTCTGGCTGTCATGAACTCACTATGCTCACTATGTAGACCACACTGACCTCAAACTCACAGAGATCCACCTGCCTCTGCCTCTCAATAAAATAAAAAAGGCAACTGCAGACATGTAACTGTAAGATTAGATTGGGCCAGCAGAGAGAAGGCATAGCTACTACATAGAGGTGGCCGTAATATCCATTATTTTATTTTACAGTTTATAGTCACCAGCACCATACAATTTCAACCTAGTAATAACAAGATCATTTGGGAGAAGGGATACTATAAAGTAACTAAAATGTGTTGCTATTTTAGTATAGAAATTATAGGCATTCAAAGACAGATTCTCACTGTGACACCCTGGCTGGTCTGAAACTCATTAGTAGATCAGTTTGGCCACAAACTCACTAAGAGTTGACTGCTTCTGCCTCCCAAATGCTGGAATTAAAGATATGCACCACCACACCTGGCTGACGACATTTTTATACACTGAAAAAAAACAAGACGATGAACTCCAAGTCCATTCTCAGTGAAAACCACTCATCATTTCTTCTACAGCTTTCAGAAATTCCTATGAGTGCATGAACATATATATTCTTTTATGTATGTATGCATATACATATATGTAAATATAACTACATATATAAATGTGGATGGTCATTACAAACATGTGTCACCGTACTAGCATGTTTATGTAGGTCCTGGGAACTGAACTCAGACCTCATGCCTGAAGGTAAAGACTTTACCAACCTTCTCCCTACCCTGTCATTTCTATTTTTAAAAGCAATTTATATCTTCAGAGTCTAGTTTACAAGCACCACACAGGTCAATGCAACTTACCCGCCTAACTTCTACCTCAAACACCAGGATTGAGTCTGTTGGCTGGGTCCAGCCTATTACTCCTTCAGAGGCAGCAGCACAGGCTGAAGGAATGATAATTAACCGTTTTCCTCCTTTCTTCATGCCCAGTAGTCCATCCTCTAAGCCCTATAGAAACCAGGAGTGGGGAAAGCCCATCAGACAAAAAGAACACTTACATGCTCACAAACACATACACGTACATACAACACATAGACACACGCAAAGCAAACAAATGAAAACAAAAGAATGAAAGCTGGCATATCTGGAGATGGGCAAGACATTTATTTGGTTATTTTTTTTTTAATTAATCATATTTTTCCAGGTACTATGGGTAATAATCCCACATTTGTGTTTAATTCCATGATTGCTAGCAATGCCTTCACTTCTTAAGTGAGAAAAGCCTTTTGGAGTCCAATAGCCAGCTTGAAGATCATACAGTCAGTAGGTGTTATGCTTATGTTGGACATGAGACCAGTCTAACTTCAAGGAGCATACCTTAACTATTTAACAGAAAAAGTCTCCAAAGAATTTGGGGGAAACAGCCATAGGCAAAGCAGTGAAAAAAACACTTTGCACATGGATGAAATGAATAGACCCAGCACAATGCCCTAACATGCCCAACACCATGACACCAAACATATGTATGTTAAAATGTTCACTGATAAGCAAAATTCACAACTCTAACCTAGAGCAGTGCTCAAACAGATGAGAACTGAACACTATGGAAGCTGCTGGAAGAAACAGTGCCACCTCTCCATTAGGCTATGGGAACAAAGGAATAATTTCCTCAGAGTCACAAAGGAAAAAGAAAGGGAGGGTCTAAGAAAACAGATGCATTGCTCTTCAGTAGAGCTCCTCACAGGTAAACACCTCCCAATATCGACAATGTAAAACACCTTTCCCTTCCTACATTTCAACCAACTATTTCCAGACTCTAGAAGATAAGGACAGGCTAGGGATGCCACAACATATAAGCTAAATTCCAAAACAGGCTTTTACCTTGACAACTTTTCCTGACCCTAATTTCAGGCGAAGTGGTTTATCTTTGTTAGCAGTAGAGTCAAAAACCTGCCATTTGATAAAGAAAGTCAGTCAGTTTCAAAAACAATAATCAACATGACGATAATCAATTAACAGGGTCAGTACTTCCAAACAGGTATAATAGGCACATAGCTCCTGAAGAAACTAAAAAGATGGGATTACATCATGGTGGGAGGTTATCACACAAATACCCCTGGGAGTATTTTTTCATCTATAACATATATCCAGTAACTGTAATATTCTGGTGCTGATACAATCCTTCCAGGAAAGCAGGATGAGAATTACTAACCTCCATGCACAAAAGGGGAAAACCAAAGGTTTAACAAATTTGATCCAGGTCAAACTGGGATACAACTGAGCCTTATTAATCTATCCGCCTCTCCACTGCTGTTTTTTGTTTGATTAGTTGGTTGGTTGGTTGGTTGGTTGGTTGGTTGGTTAGTTGGTTGGTTTTTGATACAGGCTTTCACTATGTAGCCCTGGCTGGTTATGAATTCACTATGTAGACTTGGCAAGCCCTGAACTCATTATGATCTGTCTGCACATGCCTTCCACGTGCTGGAACTAAAATCCTGTGCCACCAAGGCCCACACATTCATACTTTCTAAGTCATACAGCTCTTTCTGTCATATCACAAAGCTTTTGAAAACTTCACAGTATTAAAAACACAACAATTCCAACATATTTATAGTGTCTCTTAAAAGAAAAATGGTAGCCAGACACAGTGGCATTTGATTTTAATCCCAGCACTCTGGAGAAAGGGCAGAGTCAGATGCAGGCAGATCTCTATGATCTCCAGTCAAGCCTGGTCTACACAGGAAGTTCCAGGCTAGCCAAGGCTATGTAGTGAGCCCCTGTCTCAAAAAGAAAAGAAAGATGGTGAGAAGGTCTAAAAATAAGGTCTATTTCTTAAAGATGTATTCAAATTTAAAACTGACAGTGAGGACAAGACATGCACATCAATTATCCTTGAGAAAATGTATCCATCTAGATATGATATCAGATGTGGGGGCACTGAGTCTATTTGCTCAGCAACATTTCATGAATGTGACCCAAAAGCAGTTGTGGAGACTGATTCAGCCTTCATAAACGTGTCTACTGACCAATAGCCACAGTTCACTTTCCATGTGCACATGAAAGGCCGCATGCCATTTACATAGAAAGAACTTGGAGAGCACATTGTCTTACCTGGCCCAGCATCTGATTCTGAAGGAGCCAACCCGTATAGGTTACTTCCAAAGAATCTCCAGTGTCTACAGCAGGACCCTCTGCTGCAACCAGGTCCTGGCACAGTACTGTATCCAAGGAAGAACTGCTATTGCACTTGGCCACACACACCTGCAAGGTCCAAATCAGAGCACCATAAGCTTGGTTTAAGCTTCATACATACCCATCACTGCTAATATTCTTTTTCAAAAAGCTGCATCTACTAACAAACAGATTACAAGTTGCAAGTAAGCCATTCCAAAGTCAGTAATCTGGCCAGGAATCAAGGTGCCTAACAAGACAACATTGGAGTCAGAATGTCTGGGTACAGATCCAGGTATTGCCAGTTCTTAACTCTGACCTTCAGCAAATAACTTAATCTCCACATCTCTACCCATCCCCACTTGCAAAATGAAGAAGAGCTTTGCAATCTTACAGAGTAGCTATGAAAATCAGACAGGCCAATGCAAACAGAGTGCTTAGCAATGAGCCTAGGAAATAACAGTAAGTAAACAGGGGCTCTGACCTCATGATCTAATAATCACCTCCCAATAATCACCTTAGTGATTAGACTTCAATAATGTGACCTCTGAGGGAAAGGGACATTCAAACCACAGCAGACAATATCCATATCACAAACTTCTAAATAATTTTTCATGGGGTAGAAAGATAAAATACAGAAAATATAGGACTCTTGAAGGAATACACATACTTAACTTATATACATAAAAGTAATATAATATGTTAATATGTGTTACTCTAGGTAGTAAAGTTATGAATGTGTGCATGTGTTATATGCTTGTGTGTGGGTGCATAAGTGTGTTCAGGTACATGTGCATGTGTACAGCCATGTAGAGGCCAAAGGATAAAGTTCTGGGGTTACAAGTACACTTTCTCTTTATCACCCATTTCTGGGAATCGAACTCAAATTCTCATGTTTACATGACATTACCAACTAGCCTTTAAATGATTTTTTTTTCAGATGTTTTTCTGCAATGAGTTCATAGAATTTTAAGTCTTTTGAAATGCTACTTTTATAGGTCTCATGTACCTTTAAGAAAACTGTAGCAAAAAAAGGTAGGGATTTTTGCATGTATATGTGTATGTGTGGTATATGTATACGTGTGTTCACATGTGTGGGCACATGGCTGAAGCTGCACATGTCTGGAGGCTCAAGGTTAACATCAGGTGTCTCCCTTGACTGTTGTATTTACTGAGACAGGGTGTCTGGCTGAACCCAGAGTCCTGATTCTGTTAGTCTAATCAGCCAGTTTGTCCCAGGAATCCATCTCTGCCATACCCATCTAGCACTTATTTGAGGCCTGGGGATGTGAACTCTGGTCCTTACACTTGCATAGCAACAAGTGTTTTAACACTGGACCATCTCTCCTGCCCAGCAGAAAAGTATTAATCAAATACTCTCATATTTCCCCATTTTTCCCTTTAAACACTTCCTCAGGCAATTTCAGTAAGAACTTCTTTTCCTGAAACACAGCAAGTTTCATGGGTTCTTTACCTTGTCATTAATAACACAGAGCAGTTATGGTTTTGCCATAACTTAAATAAAGAAGACTCCAAACAAGTGCTCTGGCTTTGCACAGGAAAGAGTAAGAAGACTTCACCTGTTTATTGAACGCCACAGCAGCCTTCTCTGACTCAAACATGATAGACCAGTTTTGTCTCTGGTCATCATAAAAGGTGCTGTAGTTATTGGACCGAACCTGGGAAAAGAAAAAGAAAGTTTGGATAGTCCAAGCAAAGCAGCACATGGGTAAATCTGACTGTCTTAGCTCACAGAGGAAGATGGATTCAGGGAACTCGGTGGCAAACAGGAGCCTCCCTACCCGCGCTGTTAGTCCACATTCCCAAATGGCGCTAGGAGACCTTTGAAAGGCTGCTTACTGGTGTCCATGCCTGAGCCGGGATCTTTTTCTATCAGGAATGTTCAGGTCCATCTTTCCCACAAACCTAAAGGGGCTAGTGATTCCAGTACGAGGGACTCTTACCATTAGCTCAAAGTTCAGATGAACTGTGGCAACAGTCACTGGCTGCTGCTGACTGATGTAAAGAAGAATCCTATACTGTAGTCAAACACAATGGACAGAAAAAGAAAACAGGTTAACAGCAACACAGGATCTCCAGTAAGACATGAGGCTACACATGCAGCTATAAATCTCAAAACTGTTCAGTCTGTGAAATAAGATTTTCTCATTGCCCATTTAACCTCTTTTCACTCTGGCCTCACTCTTTAACCATAATTAACAATAGCTTATTTTGTTGATATTTCCATTCATGGAGGGTTAACTAAGAGATGGTAACTGGATGCTTTACTGAAAATGCAAGCCAGATTTGGTGGTGCATGCCTGTAACCCCAGCACTTGGGAGGCCGAGACAGGAGGATTACCATGAGTTTGAGTTCAATATGAGCTATAGAATGAAACCCTGTCTCAAAAACACAGAAAAAACACCAACCAACCAATCAACCACCAATAACAAAAATCTTTTAAATTTGAGGGGGAAAAATCACATAAATCATATGTGTACAGCTCAGTGAATATTCATTCACTTGTATATGTGCCCATGTGGCAACCAGCTAGATTGAGAAAAAGCCAGTGTTTCCTACATCCTAATAGATCCCTCTGCCCCTGCCTATCAATAATCTCTCTCTACCCCAGAGAACCATGACTGTGGCTCAGTCATGGGTCAATTTCACTATAGTTAAGTAACTATAAATGGCTTATAGATCTTGATTTTTGTCCTGCTTTTTCATGTAACATAGACTAAGCTTTGTTACTTAATTTACCAGTACTTGGTTCTCTACTGTCCGTTACCATCATTCTATATGAATATATAACAATCTATTTACTCACTCTCGTAGTCATGGCTATTCAAGTTGTGCCCAGTCTGAAACCATTATGGATAGTGTATCTATGAACTTGCTCTATGTCTCCTAGAGGACATGGCCATGTACCTCCTTCTACCTAATGAACTTCCTTCCATAGTAACAACCTACTGACAATGGATTCTCCCATTTTTGTCTGTAAATTTATTTTGTATTGTTTCTTATGGGTATTTTTCTTGGTATAGAATTACATACAGGGGGTCAGAATTATAGCACAGGGCTACAGCATGGACTTCGAAAAGTCATGGGTAAGAAAAACCTTGGATGACCTTTGAGCGTACTGAGCTAATAAAGCAAGTCAATCACAAAAAGATGAATGTCATATGACTTCACTTACATGAGGTATCTAGAACAGGCAAATTCACAGAGACAGAAGATTAGAGGTTATGGAGGAGTAGGAGTAGGGAGATGGAGGGTTACCACTTAATGGGTCATTTCTATTTGAGGTTACAGGAACAAATGGGAATAGTGATAAAGAGTACTTAGTACTGTATATGTATTTAAAGACACTGACTTGGGACTGGAGAGACTTGGGACTGCAGCTAAGAGCACTGGTTGTTCTTACAGAGGACCTGAGTTCAATTCCCAGCACTCACATGGCAGCTCACAACCACCAGTAACTCCAGTCCCAGGAGATCCTACACCCTCTTCTGGACTCTTCTGGCACACAGTACACAAGTAGTACACAGATAGACATGTAGGCAAACCACCCACATACATGCAATAAATAAATATAAAATAAGCAAAATAGCCACTGGACTATGTACTAAAAATGTTAAACTTCAAAATTTTACATATAAAAACTATGTGTCACCGTCAGCCTCCATGTGCATGGATTCCAGGCCTGTAGATTTAAACATATCCTTTTTTCTTATATGCCTTAAATAATCTAGTAACCATTCATGGAGCATTTGCATCTATTAGATGGTACAAATAGCCTAGAGATGACTTAAGGTATATAGAAGGATGTACAAGTACAGCCCTCTGCCATTTTACAAAAGGATCTTGAGCATCACAGATTTTCTTATAGGTGGGGAGGGAGAACCCAGGAACCAGTCTCCTAGATTATACATGTGTACTACATATCAATTAAACAAACACAAACATGCAAATAATTAAAATTCACCCCTTGGTCTGGAGACATAATGGTTAAGATCATTTGCTGCTCTTCTAGAGGAGCTGAGTCCCCCAAATCCATGAAAGGAGGCTCAAAACGATCTGTAACTGTAGCTCCAGGGGAACAGATGCCTTTGACCTCCTCAGGTACCTGCATTCATATGCACGTCCCCACATGCAGACACAATTACTTACACATAACTAATCTTTAAAAAATAAATATTTTTAAAAATAAAAATTTTCCTCAGAAATATGGGGGGGGGGGGCTATGAGGGCTGATATGTGGTTTTATGTAAAATCTTATTTTATTTTTCAAAGTGAAGGGCTGATCACCACAATTCAGTGGTAGACTGAAGTGGTTATATGAGGATTAGACATTTATTAAGAGTCAGTATATCATGGCTACAGGGTTGGCTCAGTAGTTAATGGCTGTTGTTCGTGCACTGGACTCAGGCCTGATTCCTAGTACCCACATGTGGCTCACAACTCTCCTAACTTCAGTTCCAGAGGGATCCAATGCTCTCTTCTCACCTCTCTGGGCACCATGCACTCACTTGGAGCACAGAAAAACAATGCAGGCAGGACATTCATATACATAAAATAAATAAATAAATCTTTAAAACTTTTTACCAATCAGTCTACTTCTGAGTTGTCATGATTCTCAGGCAGGACCTTTCCAAGCTTTTGGCTGGAAGCCTAGACAGTCTCTAACTCCTTGGTCCTTAAAGTTCCACTCAACAGAGGTTTTTAGCTGAGTTCTTTAGCTACTTCACCATGAAGTTCAAAATCAAGCAAATACAAGGAGGAAGAGAGTTGCTACTTGTGCAGGTTCTCTCCCTGTAGAAGTGTTCCTCTTATGTACCACAGATGTGCAGAAATTGTTCTGACTCTGGCACAGTGCCTGGACTTCTATACCACCCCTGAATTCAACAAAGTTGCACAGGGAAACCGATGTAGAACTGCCTGACTCTCCAGTCCTGTCAGCGTCTCTTTTCTTGAGCAATCTCTCTGCTCATGTCATACTTGCTGCCTAGACTACACCTAAAGTCAGCAATTGGTGGTGTTTTCCCTTTAAGATTTTAATTTATCTTCCCTTCATCATTTCTATAGCTCTCCAGTGAGGTGGTTTAGGGTTTTTGTTTTGTTTTGTTTTTTTCAGAGAACTTTAAAATATAACTGTTGTAATTTTTCTTTTTTAAGACAGGGTCTCATTGTGTAGCCCTGGCCGGCCTTGATCTCCTATGTAAATTGTATCTCCCTTGAGCCCACAGAGATCCTCCTGCCTCTGCCTCTCAAGTTGTGGGATTAAAGTGTGTGCTACTACCCTGCTATGAGTTTTTTTTAATATGAATGGGTGTTTTGTCTGTATTTTTATATGTGTACTATGTCTGTACTTTGTGCCTGGTGTCTGTTGAGGTCAGAAAAGAGCACTGGATCCCCTACAACTGGAGTTACAGACAATTGTAAGCAGCAATGTTGATGCTGGGAATTGAATCTGGGTCCTCTGAAAGAGCAACCAGGGCTCTTAATCACTGAGCCATCTCTCCAATCCTCAAAATGTATTTATGTTATGTGTATGGGTGTTTTACATGTATCAATGCATGCAGAGGCCAGAAGATTCCCTGAACTGGAATTACAGATAGTTGTGAGCCAATATGTGAGCACTGAGAACCAAACTCAGGACCTCTGGAAGAGAAGGTGGTGCTCTTAGCCACTAAGCCACACTTCCAGTCCCTTATCTGCTTCTTTTTAATTGCGTCTCCAACCTACTACCTCTTTCTGGCTCTCAAGTATAGCGATGTCTTACAATTAGAAGTCTAAGATCCAAATTGTAACTTCCAATGAGTAGGTCCAGATAACAGCAGCAGCTGCTAAAACACCAAACAAGACACAGCCAGACATCATTTGATTCCTGATGGGAGGATGGAAGATTTAAGGGTCACAGGAACCAACTGCAATGGGTAACCTCACTAGATGTTGACTCAAATGGATGTACATGAAAAAAACAATAAAGAAGTTTGAATACTTCCTGGTAATGACTGAGATTAAGATGTACTGTTTACTTTTTAGGCGTGATAATGACGTGATAGTTTTGAGTATCTCATCTCCTAGAATTATATACTAACGCATTCACCACTGAAATTGTATATCGAGATCTGTTCAAAATAACCTGAATGGGAAAAGAAAGAGGTGAGGGTGCGATCACAGATGAAAAACTAATAACTGCTAGCAAGAGCTTAGTACTAATTCTTGTGGCTTAATATTTAAGTCCACTGATTTGTGTTTCAAATTTCCTATATCTGTTTTTGTGTGTCTTACAGTGTTGTCCATTGTATCAGTCACCATGGGCAACTAATCTTAGCTTTGTGCCGAGAGTGGCAGAGCAGCAGGAACCTCATGTTCTCTGGGCCTCTGAAATGTGAGAATTTCTTATGTTTAGCTCAATAATGTCTAACTCAATGTTCTGAAGTAGTATTTGAGCAGGATGTACCAACTCAAAGAAGTCAGGCCTAGGGGCATTTAGTGACATCCACTATACCTCACCCTGACTAATCTACAGTGATCAACTGCTCAACCTAGTTTTCAGACTTGCAAAGGATAAATATTAGTCATTAACGTAGGCATAAAGATGGAATGTGCTAATGGTACGATGAATGATCATTACCCAACAAAGAGTGCCCCTGACGTTTTACTCCAAAGCTTTCCAGTTCTGACACTAGAGCCATCACAAAGGAAACATCTAAAACAAACGTTCTGAGCAGCTGCACTTGTTTTAACACACAACAGTAAGCAAACTGAGTCCGTCCACTGAATCCTACACATTCAGAGTCATCATTAGTAGCCACTTTTTTCCTCTGACACATGAGCCAGATCAGGCAGATTAAAAACCAGACCCTTGGTACTGACAATATTTGGGATGTGGAGTATGAATCAATGTGGGGCTTCTCACCTCTCTGGTTGTGTGGTTTCCCAGGACGGCAGCTCCAAATTTGCCTTGCTTTGCATATTGACCATTAATGCTAGTGAAGCAAGAAAACAACAGATATCAGGACCCCTTTAAGCCATGAGGAGTCAGCACTCTGTTTTGATACAACTAGGCATTTGGCCTTTAAAGGAGGTCAGAGGCAGGCAGTTTTTTAATCTAAAGCTCTTCTGAAACTTCATTTTCTTTCTTTGAGACAGAATCTCATTGGTATAACTCTGTCTGGTCTGGAACTCACAGAGATCCTGAAGTCTCTGCCTCTCAAGTGCTGGGATTATAGATGAGTGACACCAGCCCCAGCCCCAACTTCTTTATTCTTCAAATCATCTATTACCCACAGTACCCCCAAGAACTTAAGAAGCTACTGTGGAGGGCCCAAACACTAACAACACAGACAAAATAATGCTGAGTTATCTAAGACTCTGTCTAGGCAAGGGCCGAGGAACTAGGCTGCAAAGAGCATGGGTTCTGAGGAAGGGCAGGAACTGCATCCTACACTTCCCTGCCCTCCACCAGCTCAGCCGCTTTCTCTCCCAACTACTTACTATCGGTATGCATGCACTGCAGTTGCAAACAGCACAGATGAAGTGCCTGGGGTAGCTGTTGCTGGTTTTGGTGCTGTCTGATTTCCTGAAGATGAAGAAAACAAAGGTGTCATTCATTTTTTGATTTTTAGCCTCAAAATTCCACTCCAAACTTTCTGGTTATTGTAACAATGATTTCATTACCACTATCCTTATTGGATCCAGAAAGAACCCATGGCCTTCTCTGGTGGTGAGGAAACAGGCTTTAAGTGAGAGCTTTACACAACAACTGTAAACGACGCTAGACTCACTCCAGCCCCAACACCATACACCACAGACAAATTTCTAGGCAAGAAGTATTGCCTAGAAATCAGGGCCATACTGCAGCATTCTTTTTTCTTTTCAATGCTCTGACAACTAGGGTATAGAAAAATAAAGCTATTTCCCTCTTAAAGAACTTAGGGTGATAGTGGAGATGAAAGTTCCTGGAAGGAACCCCACCTGACTAATCAACTGACTAGAAGGCCAGTGATTCAGCTAGATAAGAATATTTGCAGGTTCGGAGCCTAATTACAACCTATCCTGGGCGGTCTTCGGCCCCCTTAATAGTCCTCCCTTGACCACTCATGTGTTTAATCTAACATCTTGCTGACTAACAGGTAGGACCTTTTGGAATGTATTAACTTAAAAGAACACTAGCTTCTACCAACCAAAAGGCTAAGAATGTCATCAGATAGCATCTGAGGCCTAAGAAGATGTTTTCTCATTTTGTTTTAACCTCATGGCTCCACCAATGCATGTGAAAAGTACCCAGAGTTTTGACTTTCTTTGTTCCTTTCTCATAAACTTCACCAAACATTGCAACATGAGATTTGGGAAGAATTGAATCTGTGTTCCTGGGCCACAATGTTCCCTTTGAAGTGATGGCTGTATTTTTACATCAATGCTTAAATCACACCCAAAATCTGCCAAGGGCTATACAATAACTTTAAAAAAAAAATGATTTATTTAACTTTTATTTTAGGTGCATTAGCATCAGATCCCCTGGAACAGGAGTTATAGACAGTTGTGAGCTGTCATGTGGGTGCTAGGAATTGAACCTGGGTCCCTCTGGAAGAGCAGTGCTCTTAATCACTAAGATATCTCTCTAGCCCAACACTAATGTTTAAAAATGGCATATTAAGGTTAAGGGTAAATTGCATTCTGTTATTGTCTTGATTTTTGTCTATCTGTCTGTATACTGGACACAGAGTCTCCCTTGTATAGTCCAACCTGACCTGGAACCCATGATCCCCCTGCCTCACCCTCCTGAGTGCTAGGACCACAGGTATTCACCTTTACACCCAGTGGCAAACTACAAGCTAAGCTCACTAAATGAATGTCTCACAGAAAAGTAATAAGAAAACATTAAAAATCAAATGAATTTACTTTCACAAACCTTGTTCTCTCTCATTTTTCTGTATGAACACCTCTCCTCAATTTTAGAGTACAAGGACAATGTACAAAAGTCAGATAAATATAAAAAAAAGCACAATAAAAATATAAATCACTTATAACTTCATCACTCAAAATTAAATACCAGTGAACTGAAGTATTTATTCTGAGTCCTTTCTTTGTACACATAAGTTCTGCAGTAGCGTTTTTAGTATTTTAGTATAAAATGAAGATTCAACCTGGCCTCTTCCATTTCTCATTAACTATAAGTCTTCTCTATATCCTCCAAAAGAAGCCTAAGTGGATGGCTCATGGTTACTGCCCAAACTGCTTCTTTATAACTACACAAAATACTATGACCAATTCTAAGGACTTACCCAATTCCTTTAAAAAAATAATAATTATTATTATTATTTATATATTTATTTAATATGCATTGGTGTTTTGCCTGCACGTTTGTCTGTATGAGGGTGTCAGATCCTCTGGGACTGGAGTTATAGATAGTTGTGAACTGCCATGTGGGTACAGGGAATTGAATCCGGGCCCTTTAACTGCTGAACCATCTCTCCAGCCCCAAGAATTTACCAAATTTCTTACTGTGCTACATTTCTTTGAGCAGTTATCAAATTGTCTGTTAAACATAATGTTATAGTGAACATTCCTCACACACATTTTGTGTGTGATCTCTGACCCTTTTCTTAGACTACATTCCTGAAAATAGAATTCTGAGGTGAAGTGGTATAGAGAATTTGGTTTGTTTCTGCCCTGCTGCAGTATCCTTGGGAAATACTATGGCAATTTACACTCCCATCAGGGGTACAGCTGTGACTGTTTCATATTGTTGCCCATGGGAAGCTGTCTAATTAAATCTTCACCAAGTGAAGGAACAGGAAAGGAGGAGTACCCTCTCATGGCTGTTATCTGAATTTACTGATTATAGGGGAGAGAAAACTAAACATTTCCCTCGGGCTCAGGGTCCAGAAGCAGGGTGCTAGCCCAAAATGAATGGCAACAGCTGTGAAAATAAAGTGTTCATTGTGTTATTTGCTTATTTTCTTAGTGGTATGTTCTATGTCTTCCTTACTATGTTTAGAAAGTTACTTACAGTTTAGTTTAATCTGAACTTTCTAGTTGTATGTAGTGTACCAAGATAAATCTTTTCTCCTGTGAAGCAATCTATAGGAGTCGGGGTGGGGATCTCACTGGCACCCTCCTCCAGGTTAAGGCAACCTCTTTTATCACTCTTGGGCTATCATCACCCCAGCTCACACTCTGAAGAGGCAATGTTTCTGCATCTGCCAGGGGTATAAGCAGAGTGTGGCCATCACCGAGAGAGAGTCTTATTGCTCGGCATTCCTCCTTCTCTGAAATCAACATTATTCAGACTTTTGGACTTGGAACTCAAGAGGTAATCTTGCAACATATAGTCCGGTAAAAAAAAATTATTTTGAGCAAAATTTCCTTAATTTAGTTCCCTTGTTCAGTAGATGATTGAATAATTTTGTTTTCTTCACTAATTGTTAATGAATTTCTCTTGAGTCCCTTTTAATCTCTTCTTTAAAAAAAAAAAAAAAAAAAAAAGGCTTTCTTTTAACCTACTACCTTTTAACCTCTTTAAAGGCAAAATCTGTATTTATTCAATCCTGTGTGCCTTCTAGGTTCTCCTTCACCTGAAAAATATTTTTTCACAGGAAAAAATAAATTTCCCTACCTTTATGGGAGAAAAAAAAAAAAAAAAAACACACAGCTAGGGAGATAGGTCAGTCACTAAATGCTAGCTAAAAAGCCTGGTGGCCTGAGTTTGATCCTGGAACCCAGATGGTGAAAGGAGAAAACAGATTCCTAAACGTTGTCCTCTGACCCCCAAATGTGGGTCATGGCATACTCATGCCTCTATACCTACACACAAGCAAGCAATCCATTTTTGAAATGAAAGAAAACAGCTATTTCATCAGATAAGCCAGAGACAGTTTGTTTTCCTTCACACCTATATGCTCAAGGGCTTTAAACCGAATCAGAAGCACACAGCTTATGAAGAAACCAGGGGAATGCACAATAACACCTCAGCTTGATGGGCTCTGGCAGCATACAATTCACTCTTGTTCCCACTTCTTAAACTTCTTAAATATAGTTTACTTAGTGATAAGAGCAGTATGAGTATCTTTTAAGAAATACATTTGGAGTCAGGTGGTAGTGGCGCACACCTTTAATCCCAGCACTCTGGAGGCAGAGGCAGGCAGATCTCTGTGAGTTTGAGGCCAGCCTGGTCTACACAAAACTACACAGAGAAACCATGTCTGGAAAAACCAAAGTGTGTGAGTGTGTGTGTGAGTGAGTGTGTGTGTGTGTAAGTGTATTTGGCTCTTGCATAATTCTCCTTGGAATTTCCTGGAATCGTTTGTGTTTAGTCCCTTTAGTCATAATTGAGTTTATGCATTGTCAGGTGTAACGACATATGCCTGTAATCCCAGCCTCTGGAAGGCAGACACAGGAGGATCTCAAGCTGGAGGCTAGCCCGTTCTACATGATGAATGCACTTGTTTGAACTCAGCATCTGCATGGGGCCCAACAGAAGAAACCAAAATAGAGTTACTTGTTTTAGAATTCCATATCATAAAACAAAAAAAAACAAAATCCACCCAAGATTTTTAAAGTGATCTTTTAAATCAAGAGAGATGAGTAATACCCAAATCCCCACATTTGCACAGGGCTGTGTCATGTCAGAAGCCTCTCTCGAATAGACCAGTTTTCATTGCCTATTTTCCTCTTTTACAAAGAAAGGAACTTGAAAATGGCTAATCTACTTTTTAGGATTCTAGCTTCTTCTACTCTTTTTTGCCTATATAAAGCCAAGGTCCTAATCTCAACTCATCAGGATGTCTCATTTTATACAATGGGATTTCAAATAAAAGAACTGCAAATAAAAGCCAATTTAAAAATGTTGTAAAGGCCAGAGAGATGGCTCAGTGGTTAAGAGCACTGACTGCTCTTCCAGAAGACCCAGGTTCAATTCCCAGCACCCACATGGCAGTTCACAACTGTCTGTAATTCTAGTTCCAGGAGACCTGATATCCATGGCAAAACACCAATGCACATAAAAACAAATTTTAAAAAAAGGTCTTGAAACTTTGCTAAAATTTTGATTTTGACATTGTGTCAGAGGTGACTCAAAGTGGGGCTCCTCAAGATAGGGCCAGCCACCAGGAAAACAAAGTAAATAACCTTCAGCTCCACTCACCAACATTCAGGAAAGATGGGCTAAAGCAAGCTGTATAAAAACTCTTGAACCACAAAATTCGAAGAGCTTCCAGGTTGTAAAAGGACGTAGGATGGTAGTACACCCAGAGAGGGAAGGAGGGACACCCGGAGATACTACACAACACTAGGATCACAGAAGCACGCCAGGAAAAGTCCAAAGGAATAGACAGGAGTGTTTGTGTCTTCCTCTTACCTGGCCATACATGAGTTATCTGCTTCAGCTACTCTCTCAGGGTCCTGCCACAGATCCTCACACTAGTCAGCATAATGCCTGGCATATAAAAGGCTCTCCACACTTCGATCCTCAAGTATTTAATTTAATGCCATCACTACCTGCTCTCCTTGGGTCTCTTATATCACCAGTCCCTCATGCTCTTCGGATTCTTGCCTCAAAATACCAAAGTGTAGAGGAAAGAATGCTGTAGAGTCGATCAATTCAGAGTTCACATTTCAACTCTGCCACTAAGGGTGACTGATCAAATTAACAAATTTGGTCATGTCACCTACTTTACAAAATTAATAGAGAATAAAATATGACGATCCACTGAAAGCACCTAAGACAACTGCAGACACTTGAGAGTATTAGCCTCTCCCTCTCCCTCTTTTCCTCAGATATCGTTAACAAACGACTCTTGTGTGATGCAGGATGAATGGACCAGGATGTAACAATGAATGCTTTGGGCGGTTTTGGAGACAAGGGGCAGAAGAATTTGTCCCCATCAGTTCCCAACAAAGGCCACCATCTAGCTGCTGGAACCCAAGACCTGAGAGCCTCAAGCCTGAGTTGACGGATGGAGGACAGACGACTTGGTGTGTGTACTGGTAACTTCATGTGTTGTTATAACAAAATAACTGATGGACAGCTTAAGAGAGACAGGGTTTGTTCTGGTTCAGTTCGAGAACATGGCGCATTGTGAGGGAGAAGCAAGTGCATGAGATGGCTGGTCATTTGTACCACAGTCAAGAAGCAGAGAGAAATGAATGCTGCTATTCTACTCACTTTCCCCTTTCCAGTGAGCTGGACCCCTGCCTGTGGGATGATGCCACCCACATTTAGAGTGGATTTCCTCATCCACTTAATTCCACATAGGAATTCTTCAGATATGCCCAGAGTTGATCCCTTAAGTGAGTCTAGATCCTATCAAGTCCACAACCAATATTAACCATCATAGCATGTCACTTCCAGTCAGCCATCCAACCAACCCATTAAGACACGACACTAATGCCCCTTAACTTACCTGTTGCTGCTATTCCCTGGCCTTTCTTAGGCTGCTTTGGGGCTGTGTACTGGAAGAATTCATTTCCATGGCCTGTAGTTGCTTGATCCAGCCCAAAAAGAGAAGCCAGCCTGGCACTGTTAATGGAAAATGAAAATAAAATTTCATCTGACATATCCCAAACTTTTTTTTTTAATTCTGTTAAACTGAGAACATAGCCCAAACTTTTAACCACTTTAAATGCCGCTGCCTGTAATCTTAAATCTCTCTGATGGTGTATACCTCAGCACTCAGTAACAGATAGCATCTGAGGCTCTCTGAAATTAAGACTGTATTTGTGATTTGAAATCAACAGCTGATCCAAGTTCCATCTGATTATACTTCCTAAAGATTTCTCAAATGCATTCCCCACTTCCCTACCTCACTGCCACTTCCACAGATCACTGCCACATCCTCCGTTTATACTGCCATCACCTCTGTATATTTTTAATTAATGCAATAATCTCAGCCACTGCCTACATCCCCACCCAGACACACTCCAGTACTGGGGATTGAACATGGCAGGCAAGCTATATCCATCACCATCACCCCTTTTATGTTATGTTATGGAGTCTTACTAGGTGACCAGGCTGGCCTTGACCTTTCAACTCTCCTGTGCAGAGGGGATTACAGGCCTGTGCCACCAGACCCAACTCTTATCTACTTCTTATACATTCTATACACTGCATCTACACAATTATTCTTGATGAGTCTTTAATATTAGTAAGATAAAGACGTGGAACTTGGGCCACTAAGATGCTCAGTAGGTAAAGGGCTTGTCGCCAATCCTGATGACATGAGTTCAATCTGCAGAAACCGTGTGGTGAAAGGAGAGAAACAATTCCTACAAGTTACCCCTGACCTCCATACTCATGCCATGACATACATGTGTGGCTGTGCCCATGTGTCTATACATAGACACATTCACATGTACACATACAAACATGTATACATTCATATGTACACAAACACACACTATAAATAAGTAAACAAATAAATGTAAAAACTACTTTTTAATCCAAACTCTACAAGATGAAGATGGCTTTAGTAAATAAACCCTACATGATATCATCTACTTATTTCCAAAGTAGCCATTTCTTATTTCCAACTGTGTGCTATAGCTACTATAAGGAACTTACGGTTTCTTTTTAAAGATTTTAAATATCATTGTTGTTGTGATTGTGTGTGTGTGTGTGTGTGTGTGTGTGTGTGTGTGTCTGTGTGTTTCCTCCTTTCTTCCGCCCTCCTTTCTTTCTTTTTTTTGAGATAGGTTCTCACTGTTTCACTATATAGCCCTGGCTGTCCTGGAAATCATGATTTTGCCTACTTTATGTGTCTGTGCTTCACATGCATGCAGTGCCCACAGTGGCCAGAAGAGGGCATTAGATTCCATGCAACTTGTGTTAAAGAGGGCTGTGAGGGGCCATGTGAGTTAGAAATTGAACCCAGTTCTTCTGGAAGAGTAACCAGTGCTCTTAACTGGTGAGCCATTTCTAAATCCCTTCAGTTTTTTATATATAAGGCCAGAGGGTTTTTTGGGGAGAGGGGGGTGGGGGGGGGACACAGATGCTGGAGATTAAACTAAAGATCCTCATGCAGGATGGGTAACGACTTTAACCACATCCCCAGGCCAAGGTGAGATCTTTTAAAACTCCAGGCTTTACACATGCTATTCTTTCTGAGCCTGGTCTCCCAGGAAGTTACCCTAATCTAAGTTAGATGTTTTCCTAGGGCTTAAGAGATGTTAAACACTATACTAAATGCTAGGTAAACACAGGTGAGCAAAACTGGATTCTTTTTCCAGACGTTTGTGGTCATGAGGAGATTAGATATCACAAATTGTGAGTGATCCAAAGGAACAACCATTATACAGTGTAGTACTCCACCAACTAAGTCCTAAATTTCTTTCTTTAATTACCAGTTTGTTATATTCTGTTACAGCAACACAAATCAACTGAGAAAGTAACTCTCCAATCCACTCTAATCCTGAACTCTTCTCCAAAGCTGCTCTTAGTTGGGTGTACAAACTCTGAAGCTTCTCAACAACTCAATTCTTCTGGCTTTTTAGAAGTATAATTCATACGTGTGCATAAACATATATCAGTATTTCACAAAATAAATACTATTTCCTTTTCTTAAAGAATCTAGAATGCTTCCTTTAAGAGTCCTGTAAATGGGGCCACAAATGTTTAAAGACAAACAGGTTTAGATGAAAATGCAAATGTAATATTTGAGTGAGAGTAATGCTGACTTAAGTAAGATATCAACAAACGCTAAAAGAACCTTTTAGCCAAGGTGACCTAAAGACTCGCTCCCCTTTCTTTCTTTTTTAAGACAGTGTTTGACTATGAGGCCCTGGCTGCCCCAGAACACCCTATGTAGATCAGGCTGTATTTGAACTCATAGAAATATACCTTCCTCTGTCTCTGAGTGCTGAGATTAAAGGCAAGCGCACTATGCCTGGCTGAGTTTCCTCAAAGGAGTAAAATTCTGGGAGAATTGAGCAATAGTGTTTAACAACAGTGAAAGTTTAACAATAGTGAAAAACAATCGAATCTTATATGTATTTTAAAATTTTAAAAACATATTTATCACTACTGTATATGTATGATGTTTGTGTGTTTGTCTGTGTAGAAGTGTATTGCCACAGTGTGCATGCAGGACTAGAGGCAACTTCGTGGAATTGGTTCTCTTCGTCTATCTTTAGGTGGTTTATGGGGACTGAACTTAGGCTGGCAAGGCTTTATCCACTGAGCCATTTTGCTGTCCGAAAGCTCAAATCTAGATAAGGCATAATTGCTTACACACAAATAATTGACAATAAAAGGAAGGTCACATGGGAATGCTGCTCAGAAGCTCATATTTGGAATATTTAAGCCCAGGATTTAAGAATTTATAGGGCAATATAGTGAGATGTAATCTCAAAAAAAGCTTTGTGGGCACTGGAGAGAAGGCTCAGATGTTAAGAGCACTTGTTGCTATTGCAGGAGACTTGGGTTCAGTTCTCAGAACTCAGGTGGTGGTTCACCACAATCTGTAAGCCCAGCTCCAGGGATCCTGACACCATGTACACATAGTCTTACACATTAACATTAAATAAATAAACCTAAAAATTTTACAAAGCTCTGTGATTATGTTTATTATTGCTGGGTTGATTTTATTCTACTGCCTAAGTGGTAGGGACTATGCCTTATTCCTCTCTGAATCAGTGGAAGTTAAATATGATATACTTAGCAGACATTAGCCTATTTGTTCATTTCAAAATCATAATAGTGGGGAAAGGAGAATGTTGAGATTTTTCTCCATTTAGTCTCAGTCCCACTGGACCAGTTTCTCTCCACCCAATCAGGTCCCCTCTGAGACTTAATGTCTATGTATAATTGTTTGGCCTTTGGCTTAGGCTTCTTACTGGCTAGCTGTCTCCTAATTATTAATCCATAACTATTAATCTGTGTATCGCCACATGGCCTTATCTTACTGGAGAATGCCCAGGTGTCCAACCTTCCCAGAAACTACATGCCATCACCCTGACTCTCTCTTCCCTCTCTCTCTTCGAATTTCCTACCTGGCTAAATCCTGCCTGTCTATTGGCCAAAACGGCTTTATTCATCAATCAATAAGAGAAACACATATTGACAGCATACATAAGGACATTCCCCATTAGGAGAAGACATGCCTTTTGATTACCACTTTTAAGTTAACTCTTAAGTTTGGGGAACTTGTCCAGGCTTGGTCAGTCTGGTTAATCCCAGCACTCAGGAGGCAGAATCAGGAGGATCTCTTGAGGTGGAGGCCAGTCTGGCATAAATTGTGATTACCAGGTCAACCAGAGACACACAATAAGATGTTTGAAAAACAAACAAAAAAACAAGCAAACAAACAAAAAAGAGGGCCAGGAATGTGAAAAGCAGACTATCAGTCACTTAAACAACCACCCTAGACATTAGTACTCCTGCTCTGGCCAGCCTTCAATATCCTAGACAGGATCAAGAAAGTCATAAAGTCAGGTCAAACTTTGGGAAGCATTTTAAAAGTAAACTGCAGTTGTAAAAGAGGAACTGAAAAGCACTGTCAGTATTCATTGTCAGATGTTCTATTTCCTTAACAAAACCAATGTGAAACAGCCAAACCAGAGACTGCTCAGGAAACTTTCTCTAGTCTTCCCCCCCCCCCCCATTTTGTCTGCATGTCCTATTCACCATGCGCATGCCTGGTGTCCAAGGAGGCCAGAAGATAGGACTGGAGTTGTGGATGGTTGTGAGCCACCATGTGGGAATCAATCCAGGCCCTCTGGAAGAGAAGCCAGTGCTCGTAACCACTGAGCTGTCTGCCCAGCTCACTTTTCCTATTCTTAATCTTAAGTCTGATTTTGATTTTATAGTTACTACTGGGGACAAAAAATGATCTGTATAGCTTTTGTTGTTGTTGTTGAGTCTTTTATCATCAAACTGTCTGTTGCTATGCCTAGGGCCCACAGTTATATACATAGTAAATCTCAAATCCTTAGTTAAGCCTGCTCAGGGAAACAGACTAGTGGAGTCAGGAAGAACTTATCTTGGGGTCAGGAATCAGGAGAAGAGCACATGACTGTCATTGTCTGCCTAGTCAGCAGCAGATTCCTTGATGTGTGAAAGCTGAGAGTCTTAAAAATTCCTTTATAGACTTTCATCAAATACTCTCACATAGTGAAGATTATTAAATTAAAATGTACCTCAAAGTTGGGTGTCATGGTACATGCCTTTAATCCCAGAACTCAGGAGGCAGATAGTTCCTTGTGAGTTCAAGGCCAGCTTGGTCTGTATAAAGAATTCTAGGCCAGCTAGGACTCAAATAAACAAACAAACCTTGAAGATATTCAAAAGGCCCCATATACAGACACACAAAAAACAGGTTTTGCCTGAAAATCCAGCCAACAGCAGCAGAGGCTGAAAATGTTTGGGGTAAAATAGGAAAGAATGGAAACATTTTGTCTAGTCAAAATGGTAAACTCAGATTCCGTTAGAGAACCTGTCTCAAAAATAAAGTGGAAGGCTACCGAGAAAGACACCTGATACTGAACCTCTGTCCTCTACAAAGATGTTCACAGCCTGCATACCACACACACACACACACACACACACACACACACACACACACACGTGCGCAAATAAATAAGACCAAAAGTGCAAATAAATAAGACCAAAAGTGCAAATAAATAAGACCAAAAGAAAGCCAGTCATTTTATAGTCATTTCCTATTGAATTCCTAATATACTGGAAGATTAATCGCTGTTGTTACTTCTTGGCATCTGATAGAAGGATGGGCATGTTGATGTGTTTGCCATTTCTTAAGTAGGTTCATCACTATACACAAAGCTTGTAAAGCAGATGTTCAAAGAAGGGCTCTGCAAAGATGTGAGCTTTGCAGTTAACAAGTCTGAAGGGAGTGAAGAGCTTCACTGAGACAGTGGAAGGGAAACTAAGCTAATTGTTAAACGAGGTGGGGGGGGGGTCTTGCCTCCCTTTAAAGACTTCTGGCCCTAGAGATTATCTATGATGATTGACAGCAGGGGGAAAAGGATGCTGCAGTCTCTCCCATTGGCTTTAAGCCTTAGGCCTTACAAAGTGTGATTTCGCAGGCACTTCCTGGACAATTTGTATGCTCCAGGAGTTCCCGTTCTGAGTGCTAGACAGAAATGAGCAGCATAAGCAGTTCTGTCAAGACTTAGATTTCAGTGGCTTCCATGTGTAAAGTCTCGTGGGAATAAGGAAGATAAAGCAGTCTATTCTGCCTGGGACTCTGAATGCAGAGAATTACGGAAAAGGTAACATCCGAGGTAGGCTTTAAAGGAAGCTAATCCACCTCCTGGTTCAAGGTGTCACCACCTGGTTCACGGGGAAAGAGAAAGTCTCTTGACTTTACAGCTCATTATTTATAGGCGCTGACTCCTTTAAAAACCCCGAGGCAGGCAGTCTCCTCAGCAATCATCTCCATTTCACTGGAGACACTGTGATTCATAAAGCAGAAGGGTGTCCAAGGGAGATGCGAGGTCCTGAGTCCAAATCGACCGATCTCACACCGGGCGAGCTGTGCTCAGACTGCCAAGCCTGAGCCGCCGGTGGAGGAGTGCTGCAAGGGTCTGGACCCGGAAGTTGAGACGAGGCCTGAGAAGGGACCGTACCCTGCACCCACCCACCCACCGCTCTCTCGACCCTGCGCTCCGGCTCCGACTTGTCCATCACTCACCCGCCGCTCGGCGAGAGGAAGTCGGTGTCATCCTCGTCTCCGGCCCCGAACATCACGTCGGCTTTAGCTCGGCTGAGGAATGCAAGTCGGATGATCCCCGGGCCTGTCACAACCGATGTCGTAAAATGCCGCGGCGGCGAGCTGCTTTCCGGCAGGAAAACTCTCTCAGGGTAGTGGGGCCCAGAGGAGACCCGGCGGTGGAGAAGGTGGAGCAAAGGCAAATGAGAAGGTGAGCTCCTAATGACGCCAGGCCTCGCCAGCCCCCCGAGGGGGTGGAGTCCCTGGGCTCTGAGGGACGATTGGTCAGGTCGCTTAGGGGGCGGGCCCAGGGCGGGAATCGCTGGCCTCAGCCCCGGTCGTGGGACACGTCGAGTCGGGCAATAGTGGAGGGGGCTTGGGAGCAGTCCAGAACGGGTGAGGGGATCCAGTTCCGAGAGGAAGGCACGGGCGGCGGAGCTCGACCTAAGAAGGTAAGGCCTCTCCCCTTCCTTTCCCAGTCCCAGCTTGTTCGCTGTCCTTTGCCCTCCCGAACCAGGACCCCCCCGCAGCTCGTCTTGGCTGGGTGGAAGGAGAAAGAGCCCGCGACTAGTAGTCTGGGGATCCGAGCCTTGCGGTGGCCTGGCCCCTGCAGAGTTATCGCTATTATGACCGTAGACTCGATGCCTCAGTTTCCCCATCCACGCAAAGGACCGTGTGTCCAGTGTCTCCGTGTAGGGCTTACCAAGGTCTTAAATCTCAGCGGTCGAGTCCGATCCGGGTCTCTTCGTAATCAACGAATTTGCAGACAAGAAAACAGAACTAACCACTTGGGTGACTAGTCCGAGGTCACGCAGAGTAAAGGGCAGATCTGGTTCTTTGTATCAGGGTTTAGGGAGCTGCTGAGTGAAGGAGAACCTTGGCCCTTAACCAGACTATGTGGCATACGGCTTGGGAAAGGACCCCGTTTCTAAAATCCAGACAGGAGAGGTCCAGAAGAGCTGGGATATTCGGGGGGTGGGGAGTTGGATGATGGAGGGGACTTTGAAGGTAAAAATCCTCAGCCTACTCTTGCTGGACTGAGTTTTGCTGCCAATGTTTTAAGTCAACATTAGTTGTCGCTGACTTCTCTGCCTCCAGATTTCACCCTTTGTGTGTATGTGTCTTCCTTCTGTATTTCTTTGGTTAACTTGATGTCATTTTTGAACGATCATGAACCAGACGTATAGTCACGCTGTGGATAAGCAGATAGTGTGTCTCAGCGTAGCGTCCATTTCCACAGATGTCACTGGAGTTCTTTCTCCCGGTTTTTCTTCTCGGTCAAGTTGGTCCTATAAGTGCCCCTTGCCGGAATGCTCTAGTCTCTTAGGATGATATTGAAGGGACGGGTAGCTCCCAGAGAACTTTGTACCTCTTGACACTTCCCCTGTGGGGCTCTTTATTATAGTTTTTGAACTACTAAGTTGTTAGTGTTCTTGCCCACAGTGTGTTCTCATTAATTTTTTTATTAGATTGAATAATAGAATTTATCCTTGTTCCCTTGTTCCTTAATTTACCCTCATTTTTTTTTTTCTCCCGTGTGACCCAAAGAGCCAGCAGGGCTCTTGTCTTTTTATAGGTAGCTTCCAGAAAGATAAAAATGCTGTACTGGCTGTGAGCTGCCTGTGTTGCTTGGTCTCTTTTGTTCATTGAAGGTGACTGTACTATTGTCTAAAACTCCAGGGGAGGGGAAAGGGGAAATAGTGTAGCTAGAAATATTATACATTGCTTATAACTTTTATAAGTAAATTATTCCTGTTTATCTGCAGATAAGGCTGTTGGTCTGCTTCCTGTGTTTATTTTACAGATTAAGATGGTTAAAGCAGTGAAGTCTGACTGTTGTGCAGCAGGACTAGAGTCTGGAGTAATAGCTCTGTTTAAATTGTGAACTTGAGTGGGTGGGTAGGTCAGGGAAGTAAATGGTTATAGTTCTAGCCCTGCCCTAGCAGGCACTAAAACATTTCATTAATGCTTTCTTTCTTTTTTAGTTTAGTTTTTTGTTTGTTTGTTTTGTTTTTTGTTTTTGTTGTTTTGGGTCATTTTGTTATTGTTTGGTGTTTTGTTCTGTTTGAGATGGGGTTTCTCTATGTAGTCCTTGATGTCCTGGATGTCATTTTGTAGACCAGGCTGGCCTTGAACTCAGAGATCTACCTGCCTCTAAGTGCTAGGTATGGGCCACTACTGCCCAGCATGGGTTTTTTGTTGTTATGTGTTGGTGGTAGTTGTTTTTTTATTTTTTGTTTTTTGAGATGGTCTATTTATGTAGCCCTGGCTGTCCTAGAACTCAGGTAGACCAGGCTGGCCTCAAACTTTCACTGCGATCCACCTGCCTCTGCCTTTCAAGTGCTGGGATTGAAGACTATGTCACTATACTGGGCTAGTAAAACAAAAACCTAAGGGAATATCTGAGCTATTTTCTTGCATTCTTGGGTGGAGATGTTTTTCTTGTGGGTGTTTTGAATGTCCTTTGGTGATCAGGACACTGTAGGCAAGCATAATATCTGATGTTGAATTTCATTTGCAACATGAGGAAGAGAAAGGTGGAAAGGGTTCTTCCTCAGTCTTTTAGGCTTAAGCAGGGCTGCTGCTTCTGAAAATCCAGTCTTCCTGGATTAGGGTATCCAGTTTGGTACTATTAGAGTTGGAATTAGGAAACCTGAATTCGTGCCCCAGCCTTTATAATGTATTCAGAGTTTGGGCCAGGTTCCCTAAACACATTGAAAAAGGGATAGATCAGATTGTAGACATACTGCTGAGAACTGGGAGGGTGAAGATAAGTAATGAATACAACCCTGAGCTCAAGTTCCAGTTCAGTATGTTTGTTCATTTTCTTAACCATATAGCTCTGAAATGTGTAGAAAATGTATTGATCATCAAGTGTGGTGGCACACCTCTTTAAACCTAACACTTGGAAAGCAGAGGTAGGTGGATCTTGAGAATTAGAGGCCCGACTGGTCCACATAATGAGTTCCAGGCCATCTAGGGCTACATAGTGAGAACTGTCTTAAAAAAAAATTATACTTACATACATACATACTTAGATTCCCTGAAGATTACCCTGGAAGCAGCAAGTTTAATAATTTTTTTTCAAATTGAATTTGTAAAAAGATGGCAACTCTTATTCAGGCAAATCCATATTAATATCCTCCAGTAGTATAGAGATATGGATTGAATGTCAATTAAAAATATGTCAATAGTATGCTATTCATTCAAGTCAATAAAAGCAGAAGAATATTATAATACAATTTGAGAAATATTGCCTCAGAGTCTCTTGTGTATAATGTTAGACTTTGTGTAAATTGGATGGAAATGAAGCCTCTAGGAAATAATCGTAGAATATCAAAGTAGGAAGAGATAATATCTTTTCGTCATAACCTCAATCATTATTATCCAGAGGGAAACTGGTTTGAAGATTTTAAGATTAATACCAATGCCCTAAACAGTGTTTTTAGTATGCCTTACCTCAGCCAGTCTGTATAACCCCACGTTCTAGGGATTAACCTATTCATTTTTAGACTATGAAACTACTGAAATTGTAGGGTTACATAGAGGGCTTTAAAGATGAGGAGGGTTCCAAAAGAACTCAGGAAGGTAAGTTTTTTTCTGGATTGAAGGAACAGCTTTGGCAAACACAGGCAGATGTATGTTTCCATGGCACAGAGGGATTAAAGCCAGGGTTTTATACAAGCTGGGCAAGCATTCTACCACTAAGCTATGTATCACCAGCCTAAAGGGAGTTTTGCAAAATTTTCCAAGACAAGAGTTCACCTTTTACCTGCTGTGCTTAGGACTATGGCTTGTATAACTAAAGTATGTTAAAGTAGGAAATCATACACATTTTACACAGTTTATTACAGCTTAAAACACAAATATCCTCCATATTATTGTTATAAACTAAAGCCTCAACTTTTTCTTAGAGTATGATTCTCAGAGATCAACAGACTACAGGCAAATCTTATCTCAGCTGCCTGTTCTACAGTTTTATTGGAATACGGCCATGCTCATTTATTTACATATTATCTATGGCTACTTTCATCCTACAAGTATTGAGTATCTGCAGCAGTAGCGTCATGGTCCACAGTGCCTAAATGTTTAGTAATTGGTCCTTTTATAGAATGCTTATCAACCCTGACCTGAATCATGTATGGTTGCTTTCTTCAATATACAAAAACTACTTAAAAGTCACTCACAAAGCAGCCTGACTACAAACTTTTTCTAGATGTTTATGACATTTTCTGCCAGCATTTAGAGTTGATTTCTGCATCCAACAGCAGCTTGTGGGCATCTGTGTGACTTCCTCTTACCTATTCTAGCCAAACCATTCAACTTGATTTTCATAGATACAACTACTAAAATGGCTACGTAGAACAAAAGTCATATACGTAAGTTTGGGGGTCAAATATCTTTTCTACTTATTGTAGAAACCTGGCCCCGCCTCTCACCCACCTGTGAGTGGCAGGTGTATGTATCCTGGTCCTATAAGGGGAAAACTCCACCCACTCTTTAATCTCCACTTTTCTGCCATCTCCCTGAGGAAGCAGACAGATCCCTGTTTGTTCTGTTTCTCCCCTCCCCCTTTTCTCTCTCTTCTTCTTTCTCTCTCCCCCTTCTTCCCCTCCCCGATTTCCCTTTCTAATAAAACTTTTAACTTAAACTCTTTCTACCTGGCGTGTTTGTCCCCTGCCGAGGTCAGCCTCATGAAATATTATAACATTGGCCTTGGGCAAGTTGCTAGTTTTTCCTTTTTTTTCTTTGTAAAATTGGGGTAACAATGGTACCCATTTTCTGGAGGTCAAATGAGTTAATTCACATAAAGCATAAAGTGCAGTTAGTAAGCACTGAATTAGTGTTAGTATATCTGACCTAGCAGAGATGATACCTGTGTCCCACAGTTTGGCTTCTGGACTATTGAAGCGATGGTCCCTAGATCTCATGCTACAAGGAAAAAAGTCTAAAGCCTGGGCCACTCAGAGAAGAACCCTTTCTCTTGGAAAGAGATTTAAACTTGTTTGACTGCCTTAGAGAAGACTCAGTGATGGTTGGAACCACACCTTGACTGAGACTGTTAGATACACCATCTCCTGAAACTGCACCTTCACTTCAGCACCCTGAAGGTAAACTGTGGAGGAAGGGCCACTGCATTTTTTTTCCCTCTTCCCAATATGGCCACATTGGATAAATCTCTTCTTTGTCAGTTAAATTGTTTGGGAGTTCTTTAGGATTCTTTCCTGAAACTTCAACATAATAATATACATAGAAAATTGAAAATAATGTGTAAAAGAAGCCCAAAGCCATATTTATTAGAGTCCAACATGATGTTTATTAATAGAGACCAACATAAGTTTCCAGTTAGATCAGCATGAAATGATTTATACTCTAAATGACATGGTTAGTATTCTTGGTTGGTTTATTTGATTTTTAGATGGGATCTCACTGTGTATCCGCAGCTATTCTG